TCATTAAAAATTTTTTTTGAATTTTTTAAATTACTATTCTTTAAAACTTTAAACTTTTTAACATTAATGCACTTTACTCTATTAAAAATCTTTGAATACGAAAACCATTCAACCCATCGCACACAGGCGAATTTTTTAAAAATCTCGGCCAAAATTGGAAAAATTTAAGGAATAAGATTGAAAATGCAATTATTGCTATTTGATTAAGTAAACCCCAAGGTGCCTTGAAACACCTTATTTATAATTATTGTAACAATCGCCGCCAAAATATTTTAGTTGTTAATTGATTGTTTAGTAAACAGTTATCACCTAGATAAAACGTCGGTAAAAATTGTGGTTTTTAATTAATTTTTTCCTTTACACTTTTTTTATATATTTCGAAAATTTATCATAGAACGTATTGCTGGTGGTAAGAAGAATTGTATAATATACAGAAAGCAACAATTCGGTTATTAGTATTTTTGTAATATTGTTTGATTACATCATATGTGGAAATTGAGAAAATAATTTATTTTACGATATTAAGATGGGCAAAAAATAAATTGTTTAACGTTGTTCAAAAGTAATATTGTATACGTGTTGTAGTCAGTGATGGGCGCTGGGTAAATACCCGGCGGGTAGGTATTTATAAAATGGGTATTTATCCGGGTATTTACCCCAGCCCAGGGTAAATACCCAAACAGAGTACGTATAAAAGTGATACAAGTAAAAATATATCAAAATAAATGAATAAAAATGAAGAGGAAGATGATAAAATGGGCGTTGAAGACGAGGAATTGCCGACGATCGAAAACGTATTATCATCAGACGAATCTGTCGTAATTTAGATTAGATCAAGTTATTATGATTATTATCATCAAGCTTTGCCACAATGATGACCACATCGTTTACGCCAGTTCTTCTTCATAGGTCTTCATTTAGTATGTGGTCCCTCAGGGTTATACCCAGCATCGACTTCTCCATCTATCTTTGCGTCACTTTGAGCCTCCTGCCAATCGCCATGTTTGATGGCGCATTGGAAACGTACAATTTTCACCACATATAGAACGTGCTGAAATTGTGAAATTTTATATCCATAAAAGTTCCTCTGTTGCGCTTGCTCAACGCGTGTACAGAGCAAAATATTAAGATTTTTATTAAAATGTTAAGGCTATAGCTGTTGTAAGTGTTGATATTCAAAAGCGTGACAATGGCGCGACGGTGACAGTCAACTGAACTCAAAGAAAATGGCATGGAGGACTACTGGTTCCAGAAAGATGGTGTAACATGCCATACTGCTCTATTAATTGGAACTATTGATGGCTCTATTGATAGATACCGAAAAGTGGCGATTATGACTGGCTGGTGCGTTCGCCTGATTTAACGCCTCCTGGCTTTTCCTGTGGGGATACCTTAAGAGCCAGGTTTATGTCAACAAGCCAGACACTCTCGAGCAACTTAAGGCCAACAGACGCCAAGAAATCGCCGAAATAACGCCCGAAACGTCTAATGACCGATCTCGCTGAGACACCCTGTATAGGAATATAGCTCTTAAAGATGTCTTTAAATTTCCCGTAGGCTGACCATGCGAGTGTGATCATTCTGTTTAGTTCGCTTGTTTAATTATCTCTCGATACACGAACCTCATGGCCAAGATATACATAGCTGTCAACCCTCTCAATCTCATTATCCCCAATGTTGATGTTAGAGTTGGGAACAAGATTTGTCATAAATTTTGATTTCTCCACGTTGATATTTAGCCAGACTCTTGCGCACACCTCCTTTAAATCGTTCAGCATTAGTTTCATCTCCAAGGTTATCCGAAATAAGAACTCTATCGTCCGCGTAGCACAAATTACTTAGGCATTTACCATCAATGTTTATGCCTTTTTGGGACCAATCCAGTTGTTTAAATGCACTCTCCAGGACTGTGATGAACAATTTAGGTTCACCATTGTATCGCCTTGTTTTACTCATAATCAGTACTTTAATACTTCTACTCTCTTCAGTACTTTCGTGCAATTTTACTATCATTGTAGCATTCTTGCAGATGTTATAAATGAGTTTTAATTAAATTTTATAAATACCTCTAAATACCCATCTTGGGTAAATACCCCCGGGTATATATCCAGGAAATTTACCCTTGAAAATAAATACCCGGGTATTTAACAACACTGGTTGTAGTATAAAGCCTACTATTGTAGATTTTACTAAAAATTCTTGCGGTATTTTGCGGTTTTACCTTAAAATAAATTTTTATTATAGTGTGTGTATAAAATTCGGAAAAAAATCATACTTCCGCTATGTGCTGTTTGTTTGGGGAGCGCATTTGCAGTTAGAAAATAAATATAAAGGGACACTTTTTCACTATTAAATTGATAATATAGGTGTCCACAAAAAGGTTTCTAACCAAAATTACAATTTATTTTCTGAAACACTAATTAATTTTAGTATGAGATGTTAGCGTTCTAAAGTTAATAATTTTCTAGAAAGAAATTAAAAACTTGAATTGACACACTGAATTTTCGGTAAAATATTAAAAGTTGTTATTGTGTCAATTCAATTTATTATTTGCAAGATTTTTTCCTTGAAAATTATTAACCATCCGTCTTATACAGGCTGGTCCGTTACTAATGGGACACAGAGCAACAGTGAATTCCTTACATTAAATTATTACGATTTAACCCAATTTATCTTAGTCTACTTGTTAATAATAACGAAGTTACAGATGGGTAAAGTTTATACTTTATTTTCATTTTTCTTTAATAATTTTCACTGTCAATTAGCATTAATACTCTAATATTAATGCCAATACTGTAGTATTAATGCCAATTGAGGGTGTTAGTCTAGTGTTTGATGAAATAAAATCATTTTCAACGCCAACTAATGTTTACTGAGCATAATTAAATTTTGCAAAGTGCCTTACAGTGATTATCTTGGAAACGGAGAACTTTAGAAAATGTCTGAGAAACTGTTTCAAGTTGTGTTAGTTGCAAAAATTTTAACGATGATAAGGATATGTCTATTTTAAAGGAGTTTTTTAAGGCAGGCAGTGCCATCTGAAAGATAAATCAAAACTAATACCAAATTATTATTTATCGTCTTAAAAAATGGTAATGTACCAATTTTCATGGTCATAATGCAAGAGAAAACGAAATATTTAAAGAAAAGCGAAAATAAAGTATTAACTGTAATCATCAGTATTTTCGTTATTATTGACAATTGGACTAACATAAATTGGATTAAATCGTAACAATTTAATGTAAGGAATTCACTGTTCCTCTGTCCCAGTAGTAACGGACCATCCTATATATAAAAATATAGGTAGATACAATTAAATAAAATCGCAGTATATCATAAAATACTTCACCCTTGTTAATTGTAGATATTTTTTAATTTCCACCAATTTTGCAGTAAAAAATTGACAAAAATATCTTTTTGGCAAAGATTTTTAACTAATTCGCTTCTGTGCGGCGAGGGGTTGAAGTGAGTGAGTCAATTTTTGCATAAAAAGGTACCCCTTGGTTTTATTCTTTACCTATTTCAACGATTTTCTTTTTAAACTTCCGGATTTACAGAGATTGAGGTGGAAAGTTTTGAAATGAATAACCTGTATATCAAAGTACACTTAAAATTCACTAAAGATTCACCTTTGAAGTTTGTTCCAGTCATTCAGATACACCTGTATAATAGAACTCAAGGCTTTACTGTATTGTTAAATTATTTATTTAATCCATTAATTTAAATCTTGAAACAAAATTAGCATTTAAATCAAAAAATAAAAAGGACTTATTAAATAGGTAATATCTTGAAAATGTAATTTTTATAAAACATACTTAATTAGGTAAAAATGAAAGTGTTAAGGAATAAAAAAAAATAAAACCAATATATCGATATCATCGACACATTTTATTCGCACAGTTTAACACTATAAAAATACCCGAAATAAAACGACATTTCGCACAGAGTTATCTATTTATTGAGTCCCGTTAGAACATAACTATACTGCCAACATGGAAAAGATTACTGTTTAAAACCCCATCAACACAAGTCTGGAAAGGCACAATATAAAATACGGGTTCGACGCACATTTTACTACAACTAAGATTTCCTTTTTTTATTTATTATTAATTATTTTTTCGAGTAGTTGTGATCGGTTATTATTTTATTTTGTTTTATTAGTTTTAACTAAATAGCGGAGGTGATATTGTTATTATTTTTTTTCCTTTTTTTGTTTCTTTTAATTTATTATAATTATTACGATTGATCTCAATTAGATGATGAGTCATTAGAAGCCATGGACCTTTAGTTGGTCCGGCTTTGCCAGTCCGCTCTTTGTCAGCCACTGGCAAATATTTTCTCTTTGGTCGCCCTGTAGTTGAAGGACTTCACCGTATTCTGGATGCTCTATTACTGTGCCATTGCACGCAAATTCCTATTTCAACAAAAATTTTCATTAAATAAGCAACCCTAATTGTTTTAAAGTATAATAAAAGTGTGTGAAATTTGTTGATTTACCTTTTTACATGCTCGTACAATTTTTTTCAGGTCATATTCAGCCGATAATCCCTGCACCGTAGTTAATGTCTTGCGACCATTTCGTTGCTGTATTCTTATATGAACAAGCCCGTCCTGAACATCATCATCAGCACCCTTACTTGCATCAGCAAAGGGGTCTATAAGTTAATAAAATGAGATAAAGAATTACTCAGGTAACAAAAAAGAACTAGAACAAGAAACGTTGGGTTGGAGAGAATTAGGTCGAGGTCATGGACTTTATGGAGAATTCTGGATGCAGTGAACATTTTTTTTTGAATTTTATTACCCAAAAAACATAAAATAAGCCTCATAAATCTTACGCACGTTTTAAACATAATCCTGTTCTATAAATAACACCAAGCGGGATAAGCAATGAGTTGCAATACAAACAACAACGGCCATATTATTTTTGACAGCCGCGAAATAAGAATGATAAAGGTTTGTATTTTTACGATAACTTACCGAATGTGGTTAGATTCTGGATGGACATACGATAATCAAAATATATACGTATAAAAGAAAGACTTGCGAACTGCACTAAACCTGCGGATAAACGGATGATCACAGATTAAAAATTGCCCGCAGCAAACTGAACCAGCGCCTTGCAAACCGCTTGATGATTCACTAGTATGACGTAAGCGCATGCGTCCAGAAAGCCAACATCAAGCAAATGAAAATTTTAAGGTTCGCGATCGGCCGAGAAGTGAATGATTTCTCAAAAACTTATACAAAAACACAGTTGCGTAAAATGGGTTAGATTACAGGAAAAAAATGTTAGAAAAAGCTACAAAACTATTGAATTTCTACGAAATAATTTGACGTTTGAAAAAATGAATATCGACATGTATTATTTTTTTACCTTGGTTTTTTAATCACAATTTTTTAATTGCCGGCAAAATTTATGTTGGCACCTCTAGCTGTCATTCCTTTATTTACATTTATTTATCGTTTTTAATCAAGTTTTAATCTTATCATACATTTAAACTATGCCATGAACTTGATGTATCGCAGGGTAAGTCATAAACACATGTATAAATATTAATCAAACAAAAATAGGTAAATTATTCTGGATAACAAAATTGATATAGTGCAAAAAGTTAGGTTAACTTTCCGAAGAGATCGTGTAATAGACCCTAAAAAACTTTCAAAAATCAAACAAACATTTTTAATTAAGAAATATTAAAAGTTATTGGCATACACTGCCTCAATAAAGTCTACGTACAAATTAAATTAAAAACTTCTACAAAAAAAATTAAAAAAGATACACCTCCAAGGTAATGAAAAACTTGTTAGGATTGATAAAGAAATATAAGGAATTCGAACTGTAACATTTATTTCCAAATTAAACGTTTTTGGGATTTATAAAAAAATATATACAAGAAAAAGCGTAAATTCTACACACGTGTCCATACAACGACGGTTGTGAAGTTAGCCATAGATTTTAAAATCGAAAAATGACCGATTTCTGCAACTCAAAACGCAAATTAAAATTAATATTTGAGTTTAGCACTCCTAGAACAACCCCTATACAAAAATTTACGGGGGGGTGTTTTCATTTAAGGGCGTAAAAAATCCCAAAGTTGTGAACATCGCGTGCGCTCGAATACTGTTCGATCAAAATCGAAAAATCACCAACTTCTGCAACTCGAAACAGAAATTAAAATTCATATTTGTGTTTAGCGGTCTTAGAATAATCCGTATACAAAAATTTACGGGGGGGGTTTTCATTTAAGGGAGTAAAAAAATCCCAAAGTTGAAATTCAGAGTTTTTGATTATTAGATTGAAAATATGTAAGAGCGGATGTAATAGTGTAGGGGCGCAGTCGATGACTAAAAATGTAGGAATCTCATCTGGGCCAATTGTAGCCTTTGTCTTGAATTTTTTGAAAGATTCAACCATTTCGTCTTAACTGACTTCGGAGATACCAAAGGTGACAGAATTAGTATCATAAACAGCGTGATCGTTACCAGTAAGTTCAAATGATGCAGGACAGTACATACCCTCAAAATGACCGGCAAATAAGTTAACTACTGTTAGCAAATCGGAATTCATTGGCCCACTTGAGAGAGCCTGGAGATCTTATATTGTTTCTGCTCATGTTAACAAAACGCCAAACGTTTTTTGGTTCTTTTCTTATGTCCCTCAGAGATTTGACATAAACTTGTGCGATGATATCTGCAATGAGTTTTTCTATACAATTTATGGTGGTGTTTTTTGCATGCTTGCCCTCAGATTTAAGTACGTGAGCGTCAAGGTCGTTGTATAATGCTTCATAAAAAACATTACAGTATTGTTCAACCGATGATAACGTAATTAAATGAGTCCAGTCGATGTTAAGCAGTGTCTGGTATATGTCAGGCAGATAAGATAACATCTCGAGCTATCAAATGTGCAGGCACCGTTACCGCAATAGTAAGTAGTAATGCCGATTGGTAATTATCTTCTCGTACCAATGTAAAGTCTGAGTGTTTAATTTGAAACTAAAGTTTGAGGAAGCAAGTATCAAATCAAGAGTTCTATCAATGATATTCATTACATTATTTAATTGCAGAAAGTCATTATTACTGCAATATTAAAATCACTCATGACTATGGTATCCAAAGACATATCCAACATTGATTGAATGTAAACGAAGGTGTAACTATACATACATTCCTCCAGATGTAAGAGGTGGGAAATAGCAGACAACAATGTTAAAAGCCGATTTCATCTTTTTAAAGTCAATCCGTACAGCTTTCAAGTCAATTGATTCAATAGGACAGGAGGCAATCATGATATTCGAAGTAGCAACTCTGGAATTAACAGCCAGTAACATCTCTCCACCCTTACGGTGAGATCGATCAGATCTAAAAACGTCTTACCTGTCTGGAAAGATCTCGTAGTCTAGGATGCTCTTCTTGACCCAAGTTTCCGATGCATCGACCGAAGTAAAAAATTCATTGATTTTTGTATTCAATCGCGTGTGTTTTGATAGTATATGTTGTACTCTTTCCATTGGGAAGTAATTAGTTTTTCTTAACAATTCTCGGACATCTATTAATGAACTGTATATTCTTAAATCATTTTCACCGTATTCAAAATCCGCATCTAACAAGGGAAATGAACAATCAAAGAAAATTTTGCGTAAACGTGTGGATGGGGCTCATTGGAAATAATTTAATTGGTCCTTATTTTTTACCGGATGGTTTAACTAGCGCAGCATACAATGAATTTTTACATAACAATTTAATAGGCCTGCTTGACCATGTACCTTTAGAAAACAGATGTAATGTGGTTTTCCAGCATGATAGATGCCTTGCACCCTAATATTGTGCAAGGCATTCAATGAAATTGGTGATTTTTCGATTTTAGTCGAACAGTATTCCCGCGCACGCGATTTTCACAACTTTGGGATTTTTTTATGCCCTTAAATGAAAACACCCCCCCGTAAATTTTTGTATAGGGGTTGTTCTAAGAGTGCTAAACTCAAATATTAATTTTAATTTGCGTTTTGAGTTGCAGAAATCGGTCAATTTTCGATTTTTAAATCTATGGCTAACTTCACAACCGTCATACACCGGCTACCTTAAATTATTCTCCCACCAGTCTTAATTCCCTAGTAGGCATCTGTTAATTAAAATTTTAAGTATGTAACAATATATTTAACCAGCAGAGTAATTTATAAAAAACGGAATAGGCAAGTCAATAACATTCAAACATATGAACTATCAAAAGTTTATTAATTTAAAAAAAAAGTACTTCAGTACAAAAGTTTGTGTACCAGGACTACAAAAGGTGAAAAAAAATTGATGTTTTTAAAAAAAAGAAATTTTTGTTTGCAATAACTTTGGTTACTTGTGTAGGATTAGAAATCGTTTCTATATCTTGCTGAACTAGTTCACATTCTGCTATTAAAAGCTGCTTTCAATATTCCTTACTAAATGCAGCTATTGGAAACCAACGTATCTTAAATTATGGATGGGAAATTGAATACAAAACGACATAGCAATCTTACGTAGTACTCGTTAGTACGTAAGATTGTAACGGACTTAATATTATGTCCAATATTATAAGCATTACTCCTGAACTGCCACATATCGACCAAACGAAATATATTTCAAAATATAACCATTAAACACAATAAGGATATGTGTTGTTAGCTGCAGTTATAAAACAGCATCTATCTATAAAACCTTCTGATAATATTACCTTTGCTTCTTCTGAAAAGATTGTAAATAAGCTGACAATCTGACATCAGCGAGTTTTAATGATTTATTTCTGATTTATAATTTGAAAAAGGTCTCTTAGTGCTGAGTGAGGTATACGATGTTGAACTGCCCATTTTCTTATTTTACGTCTAAATATTACCTCTTTATTGAGCTCTATGCTTCTAAATTACTGTTGTCGTTAGATTCTAGTTCAACTAACCAACTTTCGGTTGCCTTTTCGTAGTCATTACATCCTTTTAGATTCGGTTGTACGAAGACTTGCGTAGAATTTACGGGTTTTATTGTATTTATTTTTTTATAAATCCCAAAGACGTTGAATTTGGAAATAAATGTTACAGTTCGAATTCCTTACATTTCTTTATCAATCCTAACAAATTTTTCATTACTTTGGAGGTGTATCTTCTTTAATGCTTTTGTAGAAGTTTTAAATTTTAATTTGTATGGAGGCTTTATTGAGGCAGTGTATGTTTAATACGAGTTTGAGGAAAAATGTATGTTTTTTTAACTAAACTTTTTATTTAGATACAGTAAAGCTCCTCTAATTCAAATTATCCGAATCCGAATTAGCGAAAATCCAGATTACTGGAGCAATATTAAAAGCGCAATTAATAATAAAGCTTTATTTATAATGAATATTATAGATATTTTCAAGGAACACTAAACAATACGTTATATGGTAAGAAATCAATACAATAATAAGATTTACTGAAAAAGATCAGAAATTTTGGTGTGACAAATACACTCTTGTTTAGCCTCAATTGCTCACTGTCGTAGTATTCTGAGAGTGGTCAAACTGTTTAATTCGACTCTATTTTCCTCTACCCATTGTATGCAGGTACTGAAACTCCTAATAGCCTCTTCGTGTTTAACTTTCGGCTCATCTCTGGCAACTTTTTCATCGGAGGAACTGCCATCACTCTCCAATGGTATATGGTCTTCATCTCTAACAATCCATTCAAGAATTTCAAATTTTTTAGATTAAGCGTTAATATCTACAACATACTTCCGATTTCAACAATTTCTTGTCGAACTTCATCATTTCATAGCAATCTCTTTTTGACAATCGACAATGGAACGTCGTCATCTGAATCCCATTCAGTTTTTGAATTTGTGGCGTCACCAACAGAATCACTATTATCAACTGAATAGCAAAATATATTTTTTCAACATTTTCCTATTGGATCAGGCAAGAGCCAACTGAAAATAAATAAACGCACCATTAATAAATTACCATTAAATGGAAAAAGAATAATATGTACCCCACTATTTTATTCTTATTCTTTTTAATATCTGAAATTGTGGATGTACCGACACAATATTTCTCTGCTAGCACTTTACCACTATAACCATTTTGCAATTTTTGTAATATCTCCTGTTTTTTGGCGAGACTTAATGTTGTGTATGGCCATGTTGATTCAAACTGATTCGGGGATTTCCCTTTTTATGTGCCACACTGTTACGGATATTTTCGCTAGTATTCAAACACGACGGGAAATCACACATCATGCGATCCAAATTAGGGGATCCGTGGCCTATCCGAATTATAAAAAACATAATATAATATTGGCAGTTTTAAATTTTGTCCGGATTACAAGGACATCCGAATTTGCGGAGCTCTACTGTATTTAGAAATTTAAAAAAAATCATTTCAATCCTATTTATGGAAATAAAGCAATATGTTTATATGAAAATAATAGTACTCAAGCAGCAAGTTTACCCACAATGTTGATCCATAATTTCAAAACGAAACTAAAATGAAGATGAAACTGGAATCTAAATGGTACCTAAATTACATTTAACATTTGAAGCTAACAATAAGAAAAGTATCCTTTTTGTTTCATAAACAGGTGTTTTTGTTTAGTATTATGATCAAAGTTAATGAATATACAATAGACTCTGGTTATAACATATCCTCGCAGAATCAAAAAGTATCAAAATTAAAACATTAAAAATTACCAAATATATGTATATGTGATTCTGGATTCAAAACTATTATTTCAGATCACATTGAGTATATCTTTCTGAAAGCTATGAAAGAATTATAGAAGGGTTTATTCTAAGAACTACTTATGTCTTTTCTAATCTTGATTGCATAAATTTTGCTTATATGGCATATGTTAATAGTAGGTATTATTTCTTTTTGCTCGGTGGTTTGGAATCCAATGTATCACATATACATTGACCGCTTAGAGTTGGCTCAGAATCGGTTTGTTAGACGCGTCGCTCGCAAATTTCACTTAGCCTATTGTGAGTACTCGGTTTACTCGGTCGCTTGTGTGTTCGGTTTGGCTTCTCTGTCCTGCCGTAGGTTTCTGAGGGACATTCAATGTCTCGTAATATTGCACTCGTGATAGTTTACTGTTTAGAATACCTCCCTCAGCGTCTAATGCGTGTACTAATTCGCCCATCTTGCGCATATTAAACACTTATAATAAAGTTTGCCAAACGATCGATTTATTTAATTGTTCTTTTGTATCGTTTAAAAAACAATGTATGTTACTTCCTATCACTAATTGATGTTTGTGTTATATAGCTCGCTTAAAAATTATTTTTATTTTAGTTATCCTTTTTTTAACAATTTTTTGTCATTATCTGTTCACCTTTATAGTTTATCATGTAATCTTTTGTTTTGTTGTAATTTTTGTGGATGCTTCATTTGGGCTAACCTGTCAGCATCCCGAATTGAATAAATAAATAAATACTAACAGGTTTCTTAGACTTTTGTATACAATGTCAATATGTCTAAATAATAACTTTTAAATCCAATGTCACATTAATATTAAAAATTATTTAAGATTGTATGATGAAAAATCTACTTAAAATATAATTGTTTGTCTTGCCTTGAGCCTTGAATAACCGAAGGTGGAAATTTTCCAATAATGTCCTTTACGAGGATATCATACTCTTCATCTCTCGTTCCAGCATAAATCTTCTGGTATTACCCAGTCCTTTTATAATATTTTACTTGAAACTTGGAATTAGACAAGACGTTAGTAATTTTACCAACATAAAAATAAGCTAGTATTTTTAAAAACTTTATCAAAACCAAATCGCCCGTATTTAAATTATCTTGAGCAAAATTCTCTTCAATCTTCTCTTCCACATTCCTACGTTTTATATTCTCTAATCGAAATGTGCGCGATTATCAAGGATTAATAGGATCGGGTCATCTTTTGAAGGTTTTTCTTGAGCAATGAAATGTTTTAGATAATCTACAAAACACCTTCATTAGATTATATAGATGGATTTTCTATTTGTAGCCGGTGTGAGGAGACATGACGAAAAACGATTAGTTTTGGGAATTACAAACATTTAGCTGGTCGCACTTTTGCGTTATTATCTGTAACTTCCTTCACTGCTCTTTCCAATGTTCCATCTATTGCAGGCCTTGTTTTACCTTGCTTACTTCTAGGCATTTTTCTGGAAAGAATAACGATAGTAGTCTGCCGTCTCCCTACGAAGGTTGGCGATCCACCGGCGTAGATCTTTTAGCCACTAGTTTTGTAGTCCCGCTTACCTTTTTCCATCAATAAGGAGTTAGAGGAATCACGTAGCGCTCCCCCTGATACTGAAGCTTTCGTTCTTTAACGGTTATATCAGGAGTAAAGAATTTCAATATACTTTGTCCTCTGCAGCGTCTCTGCCTTGTTGCATTTATTCAGCCATCAATCCTTTTGCTCTCATCATACTATTGAGCGCCCTGTAATGGCTGTTGTCTCTTCCCTTTTGTTTTCTTTTCTCTGTCATAAGCTGGAGGATTTGTTCTGTCATCCACTGCTGCATCTTGGGAGTATGTGCAAACTCAATGTCGATATCTTGCGTGTCATTTAGAGCCGATTTTATGGCATCCCATCTACATTCCATGCCTGTATCATCGTCATTGTAGTTGCCGGATGTTTGTAGATGGAACTGGATATTTTCGGTTGCTTGGACCCGTATCTCTGGATTAGCGAATCTTTTTACATCGATCCGTTTACGTTTGTCCGTAAATTGGGCTCTACTGAAGTGGCGAAGCCGTAAATCCATCACGACTAGATTGTGGTCGCTATGAATACCAGCAACTATGGTAGATAGTTCATGCTCTGTGCAGAATTGCATTAGGCTGCCACCAAACGTCAATGACGGAGTTCATTAGTTCTGCTGAAATTAGAATAGCTGCGCTGTTTTGGTATTGGCTGTCGTCTTTTCCAGAGTAGTGTAAAATGCTGTTTCCTGTGAGTTCCCGTACTTGGCCATTTCACCACGTTGAGGCCCAGTGTTAATCGTAGTTTCTATATCTCCGCTTTTTAGTTATTTTCTTTTCCTTCACCAGTACCTTTTTATCCTGAGCCAATCATAGCTTTCCTTTTTTTCCTTCATGCTCGTTATCTTATCTGGTTCTCTGTGCTTCATTTGCATATTCCGTTATGTATGCTCTTATCTTTATCCAGGTTTTATTTACGTCTCAATAAAGGCGTATTATGGGACTTGTGATATTTTTTCCATTTATTCAATTTTTATACAATGTTCATACCATATTCAACTCGGCGATATTAGAAAATTGATCTGTGTATGTTTGGATTGGAATTTTTAGAAATAATTTTTGCGAAATTGCTTTGCCGGATATCTCAGAGTACATTCCTTTATAACAATGTCCAACAATGTTTTTTAGAATAAGATGGGGGCGCATGTAAATGCTACATTAATTTTGAATTGTCGTTTTGTTAATAAATGTGGGGTTAACCAATAGCGTGGCTCCATCTCAAGCCTCAAGCGGATACATTTTCTACCTAAGTGCTTCCAAAATGGTGCATTATTGTACAGAAAAATTACTTTATGTTTATCATGTTAGTCCACAAGGTTGTGTTACTGCATTCCCACAAGAATCGTCGACAAGTTGCAAACTTACTCTAATAATTCTACTAATTATTAACTAATTACTGTTTGATAATTGACGCGTTTGTACTGTAGCCTTATTTTGTTATCATGTAAATGGTATTATCAAGTTTTTCTTATTTATTTTACGTTTTGACTTGATTATTTATCGTTGTACTTCTTAACCGAAGTATATAACGTGTGATATAAAAGAAGGAAAAGAAGGTATGTATTATGGCGATAAATTTCGCTATACAATTTCGTAATAGTGGCAGTTTCTGGTAAGAATTTTGGTCTTATCGATATCTATTTCAACGTTCTTTGTATGATCGATTTTTCCATTTTCTTACCAATATGTCCTTCTTTTTCATAACCTTGAACTTTCTAGTTTTAGTTTTATTTGTAATAAAAAACATACATTTTTACTTGTTACTCAAATCACATGGCAAAATGACGATGACCTATTTCGAAATTTGCTGCTTGGGTTAAAACAATTTTTTAACACTCATATTTAACTTTTACTTCTTTTAAAATTATCTTTTTTGTGATTGTATTAATTTTACACCACACTAAACATTTTAGATACCATTTATCTACTTTATAATTTCGAATGCGTTTTAATTATTTTACCAAGAAATTATTTACCGCCTTTATCGAACGGAAAACCATAGCTTCCAATAGTTCCATGGATATACAATCTTTTGTGTTTTTGGATACAGAAACTACTGGATTACCATATCAAGAGTACAACAAAACCAAATTAACTGAATTATGCATGAATGTTGTTCAAGCGGACCATATCAGTCTTGGGGTCTTTCCCAGGGTCCAAAATAAAATCAGCTTTTGTTTTAATCCATGTAAAATGATCCAATTAACAGCCGAAAAAATAACAGGTAACTAAACATAAAATCGTTAACTATAAAATTAATTTTTAATTTTTATTTTAGGTCTTTCAAATACTCTCTTAGAGCACCAACCGAGTTTTACAGAAAGCACTTTAGAAATAATCAAACAATTTTTAAATTTACAAAGAAAACCTGTTTGTTTAGTAGCTCATAATGGTTATGGTTTTGATTATCCAATTTTTAAAGCGGAAATACATAAAGTAGGAGGTGCTTTATCAGATGATATTTACTGCATTGATACGTTAGTGATGTTCAGAAATTTACATAAGAAAAAAATTGAAGCTGATATGATTCTTGAACAGGAAAAAGCAAAATTAGCAAAGCCTATTCCTGCTGAACTCTGCGACGGTTTTGATGAACTTCTTGTTGCAAGTGTAGAAAAATATGAGAAGAGTATACAAGAAATGAACGAGACTACACCTCGTAAAAATAATAACCAAAGAATTGTAACTGATCCTAATTTAAAATTAGAAGATCTATATTTTAATCCAAATACTTCAAATCCTACAACTTCAAAAAATGGAGCTACTATTCATAATGAAGTAAAATGCAAAAAGAAATTAATTAATGAGTAAGTAATAACTAAATAATAACTGGTTTGGTGTATTAATATAGTTTTTCTTTTAGAAAAATCAGCTTTAAATTAGTTGATATTTATGAAAGATTAACAAATAAATCTTCTCAAAATGCTCATCGGGCTGAAGATGATTGTAATATGTTAATTGAGTGTGCAGCTACTTTGGGACAAGAATTTGTTGATTATGCAAATGAGAATGCCAAGAAGTTTTGCGATATTCCAATGATGACAATTGGAAAGCAACTTGGAACATAAAATATAAGTTATAACAAAGAATTGAGATAAAGTTATTTTTATCTTTACAAATTTTCTAATCCAAAAATAGCTTACATACAAAACTAGAAATGTTTTTTTAAACAATAACCTTTTGGTTATTGTAATAGTTATAAATATAATTTTTTTATTGTCTTATTTATTTTGTTTACAACAGTTAAAAGTACGCTTATGTATTAATATAAATCTGAATTCTTACAACTTACAACAACAATAGTCTTTATACTAATTTAGTCTAGTGACATCAGGCCTGCATATGTGACTCCGCACTGACCAGAGAATGTACTAGCAACCTGAGAGAACTCGCTAGGGGCAATGATGTTACCCTATGGTGGGTTCCAGGTCATGGCAACATTGAGGGCAATGAGAAGGCGGACAAGCTGGCCAGAAAGGCAGCGAACACGCCTTTCACCCAACCTGGTTGTGGACTACAAAAAAGCTAACAGTTGGGAGGTCTCAAAGGTAGTCTTGCGCTGGAAAGAACTTCCAGGTCACAGACAAGTGAAGAGTATGATAACTCCGTCGCAAAACAAAACCAAAGAGGTTTTATGCCTCAGCAAAGAGGATCTAATGACGCTCTCAGGTTACCTGACCGGCCATGCGTCCCTAAAATACCACCTCTTCCACATTGGACAAGCTGAGGATCAAACTTGTCGACTTTGCAACGACGAGTCAGAAACAGCTGAACATATACTGTGCAATTGCGTCGCCAGAGGCCGTCTAAGACACAAAATTTTCGGTAAAACTTTCTTGACACCTACCGACATAAAGATTCAAGACCTCAGGGCTATACTAAGGTTCATCAAGGATCTACATTTGCCCTAAACTTTTGGAGGGCTAAAGTTACAATAGATCTTATAGGTCGCGGTAACGAGAGGGGCCGCTCCCGTCAGCAATAATAGTCCAGTGACTTCATTAATAATAATAATAATAATAATATTTGTTGATCACAATGTACTACACTTCAGAATAAACAACTAAAAATGGTTTCCAATAAACAACTGATCAATCTTATGGTGAGGTTCAATACATATTGTTCTTCCACCTTACCATAAAGTATATAAAGAGAAAAAAAACAGTATAGCGTGTTAAATATAAAAAAAAAGAATCGCGACAACGGTATAAACCTATAAACAAAACAAGAGTTTTAACTACTAAGTTTTAACATATAATACTTAGGTGAATACTACCAAAGGCCACAACAAGTCGCTATCGATACCATGTCAGTACTCGAAAGGGTTCCCCAGAAATTAAGAACAAATTTAGGTAGAACAAAAAGATTACAAAAACATTCAAACGCAACAGCAAGATCTGTGACTATTAAGAGGTTTACAGGTATTGCGAACACTGCTGCCCAAACAGAAAATCAGCATAGCGCCTCCTGGCGGTGGCGGCAGACCCACACTCTGTCAATGCGCAACCAGAAGGGAGCTCATTAATTACTTTGCAAATCTGGTATGAGAAGCATTTTTTAAAACTCATAGTGTGGAATATTGGTGGAAATAGCCTTCCCTTAAACCTCACATTAACTGAGTGCACGTCACCCCGAAAAGACAACTTTTTTACAAGATACGCTGGTTTATGTAGAGTGAGTAATTTATGGTAAAAACCTACAGCATGCAACATTCTTCTCCCCTGCATGTTCAACCACTTTAAAACCGGCAGCTTACAGCTGACATGATCTCTGCGTTTCAACCCAAAAATTAGTCTGATACAGGTGTTTTGTACCTTTTGAATTTTCCTCTTCAATGCATAGGACACAAAAGGGTGCATACAATGCATCGCCATAATTAAACATTGATAGTACTAAACTTTCGCATAGGCGCACTCTTGCACTATGATTAACAAAGGCTCTGTTAGTATAAATAATTCTAAGGCTACTGTAAGCTCTTTGAACGCATTTATTGACGTGTTCATTAAAAGTAAGGCCCTCATCGATTAAAATGCCTAAGTTTTTTACTATTTTTTTAATTAGCAATCTTTTTTTTTGCTTATAACTTATAACACTAACTGAACTCTCATTTCGTACAATGCTCTGATATTTTACACACCTCTATACCAGATCAAATGGATTTGTTCTCTTTAATCTATGGTACAGTTGGTGATGTTTTAATTAATTAGAAATATACTGATGACTGTTAATAATAAAAGTTCAAAGGTTTTCATAACATGTGTATAAATCAGTTTAATAAAATTAGAATGTTCCCAGTGGAGAAATGTGTTTATTAAGATAATTGTATTAAAATAGACAATATGTATACGTATGTAGCTAGTTATATATTATATAGGATATTTTAAAACAACGATTAAACATTTATATGGGATAGGAGCTGGAGTGGCTGAATGAACATAGGTGCCCGCAAATCATCCGTTAATGAGATAAAAGCGAATTGTAACAAGATGGATCAATATTTAGCCATTACGCCAAGTTGACTTTAAGTAACTTGCATTGTTTTAACATAAATAGTCAAATAACTTTCCGTTTTTACCGTCTAAGGGAAACTAGGTCCTTTGAAAACAGGTCTTATGATAGCGAGCGGCAGAAATCCATATGTAAGTACGCTGAGGATAGAAATACAAACTTTAAATGCAGTGGATGAAAATGCCGAAACAAGAATTTAGGCTCAAGTGCACATATTGTTTGAACTCTCCGTAAGTATTTGGCTTTAACATATTCAACATGTGTAAGGCTTCACTACTCAGGATAACCGCCCAAGATCGACATTCTGTCAATGGTTTTTACGGGAAGCTGCTGAACGCTCAGACTTCTTAATTTATATTCTGTTCATTGATAAAGCTGATTTCACCAGAAATGGAACACATATTCAACTTCCATAATAATCATGTAAGTCGTTGAAACCATATATTGGCTGTTAGGACTGATTGTTTTTCCACAATCATTAAACGATCGTACATACCTTGATTTCCTGCCAAACACTCTTCCTGTATTTTGGAAGAGTTATCGTTAAATCGGAAACTAAATCTTTGGTTTATGCAAGATGAAGCTCCGTCGTACTTTACGCTTGCTGTTAGGGAGCATCTAAACAACATATTTTCTTGGAGATGGATAGGGTGAGGGGTTCGCACCATTATAAAATTTGAATCCTGTAGACTTTTGTTTATGAGGCTATTTAAAAAGTTAGGTTTACCTGACACCTATGAACAATTTAGAAGATTTGCCCCAACGTATGGAACACGGTTGTCAGATATTCGTGAAAGCTGGCTTGGAATACCATCTTCTGTAATTAAATTTTCTTTTTCTTTAAATTTTCAATTTAGATGACGTTATAAATTATTAATGACTCTCAGGAAGTGTATGCTGTCGTAATGCATACATAAAAATTTTATCTGATTTCAAGTATTTAAGATTTCCTAACATTTCTTGTAATAGAGAAGCCGTTTTAAAAAATGTTGTGCTATTCCTCTTTGCTATTTAGTGCTGCCTTTTCATAACTATTCTGCAGCCTCCTATAGCTTGTAAACTGTTCTATTCAGTTTCAAACTCAATTCCTAACGATTTTTTCATATTCCAGCGATTTCTAGATGTAAGAAAACTACTCGCGACTTTCTAAAAGAAGTCAGAGCACTCTTAATATGGAGAAAATCAATGGATATACAAATTATTCACAATGGACCAAGTAAACATAATCTATAATAAAATGAAACATAGTTTTAACTATTTTCTAGGTGCAATAACAGGATTTTAAGTAAGTTTCCAGATTGTGTTTTCGTTTTCTTGACATAGAAAACTAGGTTCTTCCTTTGCTGGCCTATCTACTGAAAGCTTTTAATAACCTGTGATAGTTTACGTAGGCTGCAGATTTATTACGATGGATCGAAATTGAACTTTCAACAGTATTCAAAAATGGATTCCATGACTTTGTTTTAATACATTTTGGTATATACAAATTTTTGCTTATTTACATCTAATGTTCCAAGAGTATTACTTTCTCGGGCGCTTACATGTTAAGGAATTGTGCTCGGTATGAGGATTGTTCTCTATTTTAAAAATAAGTTTTCCAGAGAAACCTTTAAACTGCCTGACTCACTGACTTAAGCCTTTGATATCAAGTTCAGGTGCTTATCAGTTAATAGATCAAGCCGATTTAATTTCGTTATTAAACCAGGAGGGAATTTCATATTTTGTCCATCATTTATTTTTTAATCATCATGATTGAAAATTGCAAAGTAACTAATAGATTGTAACTGTTTATCGATAGATTCATCCGCATTCTCGAACTCAGTCTCAACTCACAAATATCAGGGTCCTTCAAACAACTCATTCATATATACTGCGTCGGAGCTATTGCTGGCTGAATATGAATCAAATTTCTATGATTTATGTTACGCCTACAAAGAGCAGTGAAGGAACTTGAAACATATTCAAATAATTAATTCTTATTTCTACGTTATTTTTATGCTCTGTGTTTTTAGTCATAAAGCGAGATGTTGATTATGAAAATACTGCAAGTGGTACAATGGAAGAAAGTTGTAAAGAAAGTGTGGTAATGCACGTGGCAGTCTCGCTTAGCGCTAGAACCCAATTCCATGTTACCTGTTACCCGTTCACAACTGTTAACTGTTTCTCCACGTTGTCCAGTCTACACATACATATACACTACAAGGTTATTTAACTAACTCTGACAATTTGATACATGCAGAACAAGGAAATGTGATATCATCAACTTCAAACACAATACATTTTCAGAGCAAGTTATCAAAAAATATCTAAACACCCTGATGATACTTGATACAGTTACTATAATGGCTTTCGAGTTCTCCAACTCACTTGAATACTCAAAGACATCATTATCACATTGACATTACATTACTGTAAGATCCTTATACTCCCGATCAATCTGTCTCCATTAATCGCGCATCGTCTCGTGCGCGTCTTCTCCATCGTCGGATTCCCATTGCTCAAAGGATCTTTTATCTCGCCGTTATCTTGGCACTGTTTACGGAGAGCCGCCAAGTAGTCGACTCTGGTCGTTGGTGGTATACATTCTCCGCTCGTTCGTTCAGAATGCATTCCAGATGGTTCAGCCATCTAATTCGAGCACTTTTAATCTCAGCAAAAAGTATTGGCTTTTCATATAATTGCTATATGCGGCGAAGTTCCTTCTTTTCCACGAATTGAGGAGTTGCTCTCCCTGTCTCATTCCCGTACATTACCACTGGACTCACAATGCGGTATATTTGGGCTTTGGTTCTCCGCGACAGCAATCATGATTTTAGCAAGTGCTGAGTGCTCAAATATGCTCTATTTCCAACGTTTAGTCTCTTCTTGATATGTATGTGGTTTTCGTCCTTTCTGGTGATACGTGAACGACATTTACTTGATTTGTCAGGAAACATAAAAAAATGTCATCACATCGTATTCAAATTTCAAATAGGCATTTGCCTAAACTTTAAAACAATATTGTAGCGATTGAAGTTTGTTTGCGGTAATGTTGCTTTAACCATTGGATGCAGATTTAAAAGTCATGTTCAACGGTGTAGCAAAGTTTTTTTTTCCATTTTGATGTTTATGCCATTTTAGCGTGACAGCAACGATGAATATATGATCTCATAAACATATATGTTGTCTTCCCCATATCAATTGCAAGCTTAGTTCTTCTTGATTCCTCCTCAAATTGCACAAAGTTCTCCACTAAGCTCCCTTCTGTCCTTGCTAGCAAATCAACATCATCACCATAATCTCAACAATGCCCTGATCTATTCAGTAGTGTTCCCCCAGGGTTAAATATTGATGAATTGATGAAATACCTTGTTTAATATATCCATAGGCATCTGGGGATCGTCTTCTTCAGAAGCCAAAATATATGTGTGTACTATACACATGTTCGAATATAGCTCTCATTGAACACACATTAGTCCACATTTGGGATTCTGTTTATAATATTGTATTTGAATTGTTTGAATGCTTCTGATTGAATGTTTCTACAGTTTTTTGCACACAAACCCCGTTTCCATAGTCGAAGCATCCAAGATATAAATTTCAACATAAATAAATGTTAAAGAGCAAAGACCTTGTTAACGTATATTTAAATTAGTATAGGCAACCCAAATGGTTTTGTAGCAACAATACAAAACAACAGATTTACATATCAACTTTTAAATTTAACAAATGTCGTTCGCTGTTCTTTAACTATTCACAACTTAATTTATGTATTAAATTATTTTGTACCCTAAAAAATAAATAAATTAGTCCAAATAGTTGTATAAGCAGCTATCTGTTGGCGCCATCTATGGAATCTTTGAAAAGCTACAATAGATATTAGTGCGCAGGCGCAATTGTAAAATACGTTGAGAATCAATTTAAAAAGTATAAATTGTTGCTATTTTAAAGCGATAGTATAGTATTGTTAAGTTTTATATGAATATTTATATAATCGAATTACGGAATATGGTTTAATTATACGCTAAAACAAAGGTGTTGTCAAAGTGTTTGAAATGTCAACATAACCTCTATAGCGTGGTTTTGAAGGAATTTAAACGGTCAAAACGGCGTCATGAGTAGTTTTTGAATTTATTTATATCGAGATTTACGTTATACATTATTTTATATAAACTATTGACTATGAAGGAGATTCTCGATTTATTTCAAAAGGCTCAGAAGAATATTTCTACACATCAAAAACTCTTAGGGTCTTTAAGAAATATCTATAAAAATGTGAGTATTATTAACCTTCCCTTATATTTTATACTTATAGAGCCAATTTTGTGTTTTCTTAGGGTAATACTGAAGAACTGCAGGATAGCCTTTTTATTTGTTTAGACATATTATTTTGTGGTGACCACAAAAATAACAAAGAAAGAACAATTCGAGTTATAACATTTATAGCTCAGTTTTTATTGGATTTACTAACAGAACATGATGATGATGAAAATGAACATCCTCTTGTTAGAGCTGTTATCAATAGAACCTTACAACACACGACCCTTATTAATCCAAGTTGTAGATATCATTCTACAAAACTTTTAGAAACAGTTTTTAGAAGAGCTCAACCTGACTTTGCTATGACTGTTGAGCTTTGTGAAGACATTCAAGAACATTTAATTGATAGGTTTATTTCAGTGAGTGGTTATTTTATTATAGTAAAACCTCAATATAATGGACTTTGGATATAGCAGACAAAATATTGTTATTATCACTTACTATTAATATTTATCAGTGAACTAAATAATATAATTTTTCTTATAACGGACTTTTAGCTATAACAGACATTCCCTTCACTGTATCAATCTGTTATATTAAGGTTTTACTATATTTTTAATAGTTTTTATAATTAACACGCTTTTTTTTTTAAGGATAATTTTATTTCAATTCGTCTTTTGAGTGCTTTTCCATTATCAAAATTACAGGATATTGAAAATCCTAATTGTTTGATTGTGAATACATTTATGCGAATGTGTTGTGATCCTAGTCCATTGGTAATTATTCTTAAAACGATCAGCTTATGATCTAAGAAAATGTGTTAATTTAACATAATTTATTTTAAAGATAAGAAGAACAGCTATTAAACATATAGCATTAACTCATATATCACATGAAGTTCCACTTAAATTAATGCGTGATGTGGATGTTAATGTACGTTTAGAAGCATATAAAAGAGTTAGTTTGATAAACCCTAAATTATTAAAAATCGTTCAACGACAACAAGCAATAATAAATGCTATAGAAGAAGATCAACTATCTATAAAAAAAGAGTTTCAAACGACATTGTTAAAAAAATGGGTTTCAATTTACGATTACAACCTTCTGGAATTTTTTAATAGCTTATGGCTGGATGCTCATGTGAACGATATTGAAGAAACGCGAGTAATTTATGATGAGTTAATGAAAATATTTTTTAAGTATGATTGCTTATTTTTTTTGTGTATGTATGAATAAAATATGATTAACTAATTTTTTAGGTGTTTTCAACGGACGGAAATTTTAAAATATTTACCTATAGGCGATGATGGTTTAGTACCAATAAATCAGCTTACTCCGGAAGTATCTGCTTATTGGTGTTATTTTGTTCAAAATTTGCAAAAAGAGGAAAATCCTGGAGTGGAAATTGATGCTGTTTTACCACAATTGACACCGTTTTGTTTATATATTAATCAGTGAGTATTTAATGATTTATAGGATTCATGAAAAGTAGTGTGCGAAACAAATTCTCTGATTAAAAAAACTAAATTTAACCTTTTAGAATTGCTTGGTTGGTTATTACTTAAAAATGTGTGTGTGTTTGACAAGTGGTTACTTATTTAAATATGTTATACAAAATACATCATAAATTAAAGTATGTATTAATTAAAAAAATACAAAAAATGACAAGCAATAAACTAATCAATAATTATAGACACTAACATATACTACACCTATGTTAGTTATTGATATAAGAATATATCAATTCATATTCATTAGTTCATATACATATTTGAGTTGTATACAGGCGTTTCTGTAAGTCGTGGCATAATTTTAATTACAAATTTTGAGTCAAAATGATGATGATTTGTCTTTGAAAGATAAAATTTGGGAAACAGTGCGATGTTATCATGAGAAATCGTTTAAGATCACTTTTGAAAATATGCAAACACAGGATCAATGTTATACACGTGTTCACAAAGGTTATTTCCTTAAAACTTTTTTTATTATGTTATAAACCATTAAATTTTCCAACTGATTCTAAAAGCCTATATCATTTTGAAATTATTTTTACTCTTACAAATTTTTGATTAGACGTATCGTTTTCGAGTTATTCACAAAAAGATTAAGTTCGTTTAAAAGAAATCTGTCAAATTATTACTCAACGTTGCATGAAATCAGGATTTTCTTCAGTACAGGGTCAGCCAAACTCGACGCCCCACCTCTTTTATGGGAAACAGGTAAAATTTTCGAAAAAAAAATGTATACCATTTTAAATAGTATCTTCTGGTATCTTCTCAGCTTTAAGAAACATCAGATGTTACAAATTTCGGACGGCGACACATACAAATTTATTTTTTTCTGTTTAGAAATAGGATGCTCATATAATTCTTAGTAATATTGAATAAAAAAGTTTTTTTATATCTCTAATAGTTTTTAATATATAGCGGGATACGTAAATACCAGGAAAAGGTTAACATACTTTCAATTTACGGTGAAGCTCGCCGTAATTCAAGGGCAGCTGTCCGACTTTATCGCGAAAAGTATCCAGACCGAGCTGTTCTGGACCACAAGTTATTTACCCGATTGGAACAAAATTTAAGAAAAAATACAGACGCGTATGTTTCCTACAGGAAAACGCTTCCTGTAGGAAACATGTTCCTATTAAAAAAACCATATACAATAATGGCGTCGAAGCTGAAGTTTGTCATTTTTTTGAACATAATCCTAGAGCTTCTGTTAATATGGCAAGTCAACAATTAAATATTTCCTATTCCTCCATACGTCGAATACTTAAGAAGAACGGATAGAGCAGCTTTTAAATGAAGATAACCGTAATAAACGCATAGATTTTTTAGCGGATATGGCCATATTGGAAGACTACAATAGAAGGATATATAAGAACATTTTATGGACTAATGAGAGGCGACTTGTAAGTAATGGGCTTCCAAATAGGCAGAATAAAAAATACTTGGCCACTGAAAATCCTAATGTGATTAATGAAGTCGAAAATCAAGGCCACTTTGGAATTAATGGCCATATTTTTTCGATTACAATTTTAATGGACCAATCTTTCTCCATTTCTTAGAAAATGAAGTGCCTGATTTATTACAAGATATACCTCTCATGCAGGAAAATGTATGGTTTCAAATGGATGGAGCGCCCTATCACAATTCTGCAATTGTTACGCAATATATGAACCGCGTATATCCTGAGAGATGAATAGGAAGATCTGGTCCAGTGTGTTGGCCAGCTAAGTCACCCGACTTAAGCTGCATGGACTTCTTTTTATGGGGCACAATCAAGAATATTGTGTACAGTACTCCCACAAACAACGTTGAACATCTTAAACAAAAAATTCGTGATGCTTGTAATACGATAAGTCGTGATACTCTTAGAAAAGTTACTCATAATGAAGTGAGAAGCCGGTTTCAGCACTGTTTGGTGGCGAATGGCGGTCAGCTTGAGCACACTTTGTAGGTGCAACATATTATGTTTCTGTTGTTTTGACTTATTAAAATCAATATTTATTGTTTTATGTTTTAAAAATTTTATGATTGTCTCAACAAATTGTTCTATACTTTTATTTCGTTGTTATTTTGTTACTATTCAGTTTATTAAAATGTTTTGTAAACCAACTTCCTGATCTGTTATATTATTATTTTATATTAGTAAATTTTTAGTCCATAGCTACCTATAATAGATCAGGATAATACTCGTCAATATTAATTTACATATCCCGCTATACAGGTGATTCAAAAAAATCGCTGACAGACTTCTAGGGCAGGTAATACATCAAAAATTAAGATCGTGATCAATTATCTATCAATTGGTCTCTTACAAAACAGGCATTTGCGACCCCATGTATCTTAAGACTATTCATCTTAATTTTTCATGTATTATCTACTCTAGAAGACTGTCAGCGGTTTTTTGAATCATCCTGTATATTAAAAACTATTAGAGATATAAAAAAACTTTCTTATTCAACATTGCTAAGAATTATATAGGCATCCTATTCCTAAACCGAAAAAATGTGTTCGTTGAAAAAATAAATTAGTATAAGTCGCGAAGCCTAGGGCCGTCGTCCAAAATTTGTAACGCCTGACGTTTCTTAAAGTTGAGAAGATACTATTTAAAATGGTATACATTTTTTTTTCGAAAATTTTACCTGTTTTCCATAAAAAAAGTGGAGCATCGAGTTTGGCTGACCCGGCACAATTATTCTTCAGCATTTCTCAAATGAATGGTTATCTGTAAAAAGTACTCTTTTCTAAAAACGCAGCATCAATAGTACGTTTTTCCATCATAGTATGGCAACACTGTATTTTCAATGGATGATCAGCAATTTTAAATTCTTGTACTCTCGACAAGTGGATGCATACAATTGCTATTCATATAGGACATGCCAAGACATATCTTTGGATATTCTGCAGTACTACGAACAAAATCCAAAATGTTTTCTTCTAGTTGGGGTGTACGAACTGACCTCAGGTTGCCGTTATTTTTTGTCTTAAATTTCCTGTCTCACGTAATAGTATATTAAAAAACAAGTTTCGTAAGACACGTTTGAAATGCACGAATTCAAGTTGAAAAACGAGTGGCGAAGCCACGAGTTTTTTAATGAATGAGTGCTTTAAGTCTTATGAAACGTGTTTTTTATGCTATTTTTTGTAATTCGCGTTTTTATCCTTTTTTTTCTCAAAAATAAAATAAATTTTGACAATGTAGGGAAATAGGTATGTAGCAATTGGTAACAACGTAACACTTGAAAATAGAAATTTGAATGACAAATAGAAACTGTCAAAACACAAAACGTATTCACCTGATAAAAATGTTTCATGTACACCTCCCAAAATACGAGAAATTGCTCAGAGTTCGATGTCCTCATCATTGTGGACCTTGTATTCGATGTTAAGAACGTGTTTAAACATCCATAGACAAACATTGTCACATTGACAACTAGAAAAATTGATGACCCAATGTCACCAACTTGAACTGATTCCATAAAATGTTACTAAAATCTCATTACAGCATCGGATGCTGTCAAGAGTGTCATTACAGCACCCGTTTGAGTACTGTAATAGCTTTCATTACCGTCGCGAATTACAAAATAGTATATTACAGTACAAGTGAGGAAATTATGATTTTTTATTAACGCTTATGTCGGATTTCCTTTATGTTGGACAGACATACAAGTTAGTCACAATTTCGAAGGTAGGATTGAACAAATGTCTTTCGATATTTAGAAATGGTTTTTCAACAGGTTGTGTTTACTTACAATTTGTTTTCATACGCACCTACAATTAATGAAAACATTCCAAAATCGAGGTTGTATATTTTTGCAAATATCTCGAAAACGATGCGTCTAATCAAAAATGTCTAAGAGTGAAAATAATTTTAAAATGAAATAGGCTTCTAGAATCAGTTGGAAAATTTGAGGGTTTATGACATAACAAAAAAGTTTTAAAGAAATAACCTTTGTGAACATATGTGGTTCGATATTTCCAACAGTGATTTTAAACGATTGCTTATGATAACATTGCACTGTTTGCCAAATTTAGTCTTTTTCAAATTTAGACAAACCATATTGAAAATATTTCAGAAAATGTTTGAAAATTGCTTAACTTTGAAGGCCCATATCTTAGCTATTTATGCGTTTAGATCAAACATTTTTACACGAATCGCCATCATTTTGACTCTAGTATTTGTGATTCAAATTATGCCACGACTTACAGAAACACCCTCAATCAAATACAGTGATACAATAAAGTGTACATACACCCCAGAAAATGATAATATCTCAGTTCCTGAAATGTAATTCAATAAAATTTTTAAACGAAGGATATTAGAACTCTATATTATTTTAATATTTTACACAAAAAATGTATAACTTATTATTTATAATAAAAAACACAAAACTTATTCATATGTATAACTCAAAAAAGTCTACATACAGCTGTAACTGACATGTAGAGATAAACGGACAATTTTAAAAACGAACAATTCATTCGACAACTACTGCTGTTGATATAGCCAAATCATTCGCGGCATCAAGATCTATAATCCTAAATCACGAAACAGTTTGAGTTGTGCTATAAAATGAGGGTTACAGTAGGAGAGTTCCCAGAAAAAAACCATTCATATAGGAAACAAATGCGAAAAAAAGGGGATTTTGCTAAATTACATGAGCAAAAGGATACTAACTTTTGGCATACTGTTGTATTTTCGGATGAGTGTAAATTCAATATTTTCGTTTATGATTGCACAACAAAAGTATGGAGAAAGAGAAACGAAGAGAATAAAAGAACTTGAAAGCCACCGCGAAGCATGGCTTTGGAAACGTGATGGTATCGGGTTGTATGTTGGAGTTACTCATGAGATGTATATCAGAAGTTTTTAGTTGGTGTTGTCACATTCTACATAGTTCTGCATATAAATTTATTACATTTTTCGTATTAGGCTTTAGTTTTGCGATCCTTTCCAAAATGACATCTACTTGATGTAATCTTTGGACATTTTGTCTCTTGGTATCTCTTCTTCAAGTACAGCCTTTGGAGATATTAATTGTAAACGCGTTTTTTTGTCCCATGGGAGTGTTAAAATTGTTTGTCGATATTGTAAATGTTGTTTATATAACTCAAAACAAGGAATTTCAGGAAATCTCTTCTATACACAAAAAATTTGTATAGAAGAGAACTCTTTTCACTGTTAAACACTATTTGGCACATTACTTTTCATACAATCACTGTTTCTACATGTATATTCTTTAAGCTTTTGTTTTCTTTCAGCGTAATTAATTCAAAAAATAATTCACATTCAGAAGAATGGCAAAATTTACAATTTCAAGAAATTTTGTTTAATCTTTTTCAAATGGTCGCCATATCAGATTTAGCTGATGAAGTAGGTTGACTTGTATAAAATTATTAAAAATTAAATTAAAATTTTTTTTAAAGGTTGGTCGCCAACATCTTCAAACTTTATTAAGAGAAACTTTAATGGTACCAAAATTGAGTAAGAATGTAATGGAAAAAATTTTTGAATTATACAATACGTTTATTACTAATGATGAAAAACAATGCGACGATGTTTGCGCTATTTTATCTGATGTAAGGGAAGCTACAAGTTCAAAAGATGATGTACCAATAGAACTAATAGAGGGCCAAAAAGCGAATGTAAGAGCAATTCTGATATTTCCATTCAAAATCTTAAAAACATAATTTAATTTTTCAGATAAAATTTCTCAAATCAAGAATGATTGGACTAGAAATTACAATACAAAAAGCAGTTGAAGAAAAAAATTTCCAAGAAGCACAAAAAGTTACTGACGAAATGAATGAATTATCTAAACAAATTTTAGAATTAGAAGCGGTTGTTAGTCAGTTTGAACATGTTAATAAAGAACGAGATGTTAGGTCCGATTCTGAAACGATGTGTCAGTGCTTGGATATTTTATCGGTTTTCTTAGGGACTACAAGAATTCGCACACTAACCTCTTCGTTAAGAATTTGTCTAAGCGAATTTGTCATTCCCGGAATGGACATTGACGACGTCGCTTTGCACGCAAAAATTTTTTTGGTTCTTGGACAATTTTGTGTTCTCGATAAAGATCTTGCTGTAAATAAATTACTTTACATGTGCACACCAGTAAGGAATACAATATATAAAATTTGAATCATATTTAATTAAAATTGTTACAGCTTGTTGCCACCAAATTCGGTAAATCTGATAAATCTTCAATAATCAGTTCGTTAAAAGCGATTTCGGATATTATTCGCGTTCATGGATCGGATATTTTGGGAAATGATGAGGAGGAAACACAGAGTGTAAGTAGTGCGGGATCAAAATCCGGACGCCGTAAATTGTATCAAGAAACTGCAAATGAAGATGTTGTTGCCCAATGTATGAATATATCAAAGGGCGCAATTATTGATATTATTTTAGATTTAATGGACGAAGAGGTGAAATTTGCTTAATTACTTTCTAATACCAATTATTAATATATGTTTGTTTTTAAGGATGAAGATATATCTCATACAGCAGCACTTGCATTAATGCCATTAGTAATAAATGGATTACTTGTTAATTCATCTTTGCTGACAAGATTGTTTTTGAAATGGTTAAATCCTAACATAGGTAAGTAAAAACAAAAATTTTTAACTCTAATTTTCTAAAATAGTACAGCTTAGTTTATAAAATTTAGTATAAAAACATAAAAATCGTTTTAAAGCATTAAAAGTTGGAAGAGACACAACACAAGTCTTAATTAAAGCATTAGCATTGCATTTTGTAGAACAGTGGCAGTCTCGCTTCAAATGTTGCAAATGTACTCTTAATATTAATTTATATTATTTACAAATTGTTGTTGAAGCAACAATATCTGTTATTAATTTCATTGCTGATCTAAGTTGAGATTTGCAAATTGTTGATGCTTGCTCAGTAATGTCTTGTTGAAATTGATCAAGCTTTGAGACTATTTTCTGTACACACACGAAATTCTACAGGTTTCTACAGTTTTGGTTATATTCTTAAATGTTTTAAAAGAAGTGGAAATATTGACAAGTATTGGTATGAATCATAGGAGTAAATAATAAAAAGTAATCGCAGCGATCTGAGTGGGACATGAGAAGACGTGTAAGCTAGAGGTGTAAGAGAAGAGGATTGCAAATGTTTTGAATAACTTTATATAAAAGCATAACATTAATAGCATGATGTCAAACTATATTTTCTACATAAAAAACTAAGAAATCGCTTTTGAACACGTTTTCATCTTTGCACATTCAAATTATATTGAGGATTCTATACTGTAGTGCACAAATTTAGATAGTGCACATAAGCGACAAATAGAGGATCTTCAAGAGATTAATACAGTGTGACCTCAATAATCTGGACTAATTAAAACAGTGGTGATCCGGATAAGTAAATAATTCGAATTACTGAGGCGAGAGAATTTTTCTATTGAAAAGCGAAACATTTAATGTAAAACAACTAAAAAAATTGTATTTATTTAAAGATTATTTACAACACGGAAGTATATCTTATTAATTTTTATACAGGTGTCTCAGCGAGACCGTTCATTAGACGTTTATGGGGTTCTAGCCAAACTAAAAATTTGAGAATTTAGTTTTAAGTATTATCAATTGCGTTCTCTTCGTGTAAAATATTTTCAGATTTCTAGCACTTACGGTTATACCGGAAGTCGCCATCTACTTAATTTTTTTAAATGGAACACTGTATATTCTCTCTGTATAAGATGTAAAATACGACGCTGAAGGCGACTATGTAATAAATATGGCGCGTGCCATTTAAAAAAATGAAGTTATGGTACTTCAAAATTTCGTAGAGTTAACTTGCCATAGTAAAGTGACCAAACGATCTAGACAGCCGTTCTCAGCACCAAAACATACTCCATCATTTTGCTTAAGCATGTTCGGGATCCTAAATTGATAACAGCAAGTGTTCGAAGTTATTTCCCATATTTTCTATCAATTGGGTTCCCCGAATCCACGACCCCAACTAGTGCAGCCCAAACCAGGGTGTTGGCGGATTGTCTGTGCAGCAGCATGTACCTGATTTTGCAATATTTGCTCAGTATTGACTTACGTGGCGTACACTATGCTTTTTAAGATCACGGTGGCCAGGCCATTGGACCATCTCGACCTATCCATCCTCCAGGAAACACATGATGTAGATGTCGCCGATTATATCGGATATCTAGGAAACTAAAAAACTTTTACTACCATTTTTTTCATCTATTAGTCATTATTTGTCATGAGGAATAAATCCTCAACTTTATGCGTATAAGTTGAGAATCACCCTGTATATAGGGTGTTCCATTTAAAAAAATAAAGTAGGTGGCGACTTCCGGTATAACCGGAAGTGCTTGAAATCTGAAAATATTTTTGCAATTGATTATACTTAAATCTGAATTCTCAAATTTTTAATTTGTCCACTTTATGCATTCGTATTTTTTAACTCTTGATCCTCATTTTCACTTTCGAGTTGTTCATCTGTACCATCTATGTATTCCACAGGTAACAAATCTTCATCATTTTCAAGACAGTTACGTATTTCCACGTTCGTATATCTGAAACATCTGTTAAATATATACGAATATTAACAAAAAAAAACAACGAACAATTTCAGACTTAACTGTATAGTAGTTTACCTTTCAGTTCTTCATTCAAGCAAAGCAGATTGCGCCGCATTGACTCAGCGGAATCAGATCTTCAGCGTCTGGGTTGGTATTTGCCACGTGAGCCATAATTTTATGCCAGCACTTCTCCAAGACTCCAGAGACTTATTCCCAAGGCATCTTGGTCCATAAGCTGCAAAAGTGCAGTACAATTTGGTGGAAGAAATAATGTTGTAAATTGTCCATCCTCCCTAGTTAGCTCTTTTATAGTTCTATGGCTTGAGGCGTTATCGACGATTAGCAGAGTTAATTAATTTCTGAAATGACTTTGAACTTGACGAGTAAAAGAGCCATAAAACCAGTTTAAGAATATTACTGTAATCATAATCATCCATGCATTGGCAGATGATTTATTTTCAACGTTTTTAAAAGCCCTCAGATTTTTTGTCTTTCCTATCACCAATTGCATTAATTTTTGTGAACCATCAGCATTGCAACATGGTACCAAGCTAACGCGTTCTTTGCTTATGTTTCACCGTTTTATTCAGGCAGCATTTTCCAATATGGAGCAGATTTTGAATTGTGTTTTTGAGTAGGTCTGAGGTTTAATTTTTTTGTTTGAAATTCTCTGCTAGCTCTAAAATTATCATTTCCATAGGTTTCTGTATAAAATTGTTTTGCTTTGGCAGATAAAATTTCGTAGGAAATCGGAATGTATCTTGATCGTTGCGTACAAAACCATGTATACAAATGAGTTTCCATTTCCATTTAGGATATCCAGCTTTTTGTAAAGTTTTTCTGGCGCTAGGACCGGCATCGCGTTTGGTAACAAATCTAAATAAAGTTCCATTGTAAATGTCTTTTTTACATCGGAAATTGTTGATGTTCCTACTCCATATTCATTTGCTAACACTTTTCTAAGTTCACCACGAACTAGCCTTTCTAATATATCGAACTTTTCTTTGTGTAATATGGTTTCTTCTAGAGAGCAACAAACAATTAAGCAGTCATTAATCTTCAGACGTGATGCGTTGCAGGCAAATCAAAGGCACATACTGCTTATATGCATCCTAGATATACTCGGCCGAATGTAAGCAGTTAGGGGAATCCCTCACTATCGATTTGAGTTTACCTATATGTATTATATGTAGTTTGAATAAAGTAAACGTGTAAGAACGCAGATCCGGATTACTGAGCGTTATCAAATCCGGATTATAAAGTACACAATGCATTTGAAATACTTGTCCGGATTGTTGAAGAATCCGGTTTAATGAAGATCGGAATACGGAAAGTCGCAACGGCTAAAGATGAACAAAAAATGTTCGAACTTTTACAATGACTAAATGCTACTTGATGATTATAGACTGGGCGGATATTATACCTCGGCCGTTGCAGCTTGCAGCTAACCCATGACATCGGAATTAAGGACGCGATCCATCCATCTGGGCACGAAAATAACAAATCCGCCGCCAGGCTCAGAACATGAAATAGAGAGAAGAATCGGAATGGCAAAGGAGGCTTTGGGAAGACTGGTTAAAATCTGGAAAGATCACCATACCCGCAAAGAAAATAAAATAAGACTTTTGAAATCTTTAGTGTTTCGTGTTGCAATATATGGCTCAGAATTCTGTGCCATAAATGCTGCATGCCGAAGGCATATTGAAGCTTTTGAAATGATATGTTACAAGAAGGTTGATGGCGAAAGATCAAGAAGCAGGTCACTAGTGAGATATACAGGGTGATTTATTAGCTCACCATTAAACTTTGACATATGATACCTAATCCAATTACCAAAAAAAATATTAAAGAACATATGTCCTATAAGTACGAAGGCTTTCACGGTCGGTGTTAATTGAATTAAAATTAGAACTAAAACTAGAAACTTTCGGGTTTTGCCGTGCGTCTTTTAAGAAAAGGTTTGACGTTTCGAGTACCATGTTGCAACCTTCTTCAGAAACTGGTTCGAAGTATCGAACTTCTAATTTTAGTTCAAACATATGTCCTATTTCAATTATTTACGAAATTTTAACACTTTAAAGTTTTAATTATTATATTATAATTAACTGCTACATTTTTTTTAAACACAAATATTACAAATATTGTTCAAAATAGCCTCCTTCTGCTAGAATACATGCTTCACAACGACGAATTAAAGAGTTCTTCAGCCGAATTAAAATGTCTGGTTGATTTCTTATTTCAATAGCAGCCATTTGTATTCTATGTAATAACTGTTCTCGTGTGTTAATTTCCACTTGATACACAATTTGTTTCATATGACTCCATAAGTAGAAATCCAATGGATTAAGGTCGAGGCATCTAGGTGGCCAAGCAAATAGACCATTATTACCAATTCACTTGTTTGGAAAATATTGGTTTAACCACTCGACAACTACTCTTCCGCGATGAGGTGGGGCACCATTGTGCTGGCACCACATATTTTGAATTACATTAAAAGGTATATCTTCAAGTAAATCAAAAACTGTATTGTTCAAAAAAATCTAAATATTAAATATTCCACCCAAACGTTGATGCTGAAGCGTTGTTAAAATTTCCTTGGTTTATATGTTCATTATGAGCTTTGTTCGTTCAGACTGCACTACTCTGCACGACATGGCACTCGTATGACGTCATAGTGCAATGAAGTGTAAGTAAGTGCAATCTTAGTGCAGGTCAGAAAAGTGTATAAACCGTGGTCGCAACGAACAGATTTTTATAAAAAAAGTGTATAATATTTGAAATGGACGAACACGAGATTGTCAGCGAAATACTTGTGGAAAATGAAATAATCGCAGAACGTTTTTTTAGTAGCGATTCATCAATTATTATTATTATTATTATTATTATTTTATATTTTTTTCAATTTTTAGCGAAATATATTTTCTACACCAAACTACTAACCCTTATAAGTTCTTTCAAAATTACTACTTAACGTATAAAGAAATCACATGCTAAATTGCACCAAAATCGATAAGCAGTACTTGCAACAAAAAAAAATTTGGGGTGGTGAGGATAGTTAACCCCAGCCACCCCTAAATGAGAAAAAACACATAATTAATATTTTTAAATGTACTATAAGTATATTTAATGCCGCCGAAATCAACAGGGTAGTTTTTAAATTATTCCAAAAAAGTAGGGGTAGTTTTCTACTGCCTCTACTGGGATTGAATATACTGTGTTTTCTAATACAACAAATATTAATTATTGTAAGTTTTTATTTCTTAATATTAAATATTAATATTAATTATTACAAAACACGCTTTCAAATATTCCGCCATTTTAGTTACACTGAATTACACTGCACTTATTGAACTTAATCGAAGCAGGTGCAACAAAATCTGCACTAACTTGCACCCGCTGCACGAAATTGCACTGCGCATGGGCCAACTAATAGTATGAGTGCAACTGCACTAAACTACACTATCCCCAACGAACACACAACATCTGCACTACACTGCTTAGTGCAAGTAGTGCAGTCCCAACGAACAAAGTTATGGTAATTATTTATACCATCTCGTGTAAAACATGATTCATCTGTCCAGAGAACATTTGAAATGAAGTTATTATTTTGGGCATGTTGCTGCAATAATCATTCACAAACTGCTAACTGTTGCTGATTATCTCCTGGCAGTAGAGCTTGAACATTGTGTTTACGATACGGATGAAGGATTTCGCGGTTCAATACGCGCCATGCAAAATTTTTACTTACATGTATGTAGTGTGCTATTCTTCGAGTGCTGATGGAAGGATTATCAATAACAGCATTAATTACAACTTTTTCGTCCTCTACATTAACTATATGCGGTCGAATAGCTTTTGTTGGAGCAGGATTACCCGTTTCTCGAAGCCTTCAGAAAGAATCGTTAATAACTGAATAATATGGCAAATGACGCTGTGGAAATCTTTCTTGATATTCTCGTACTGATTGTTGAGCATTTCCATTGCAAAAACCATACACAAAAATTATATCAGCATACTCTTCAGTGCTATAAACGTACATTTTTAGTTTTTTCTTGTATGTAGGTAATAATTAAACCTTACAGCAAATTGACATAATATAATGACAACTTTGTTTTTGTTGAATGTTTGGTTTTACTGACTATTAATAAATTTGCTGCAGAAAACTTTAAAGTGTTATAATTTCGTAATTTTTTTTTTGGTAATTGGATTAGTTATCATATGTCAAAGTTTGATGGTGTGCTAATAAATCACCCTGTATAGACCAAGTAAAAGATCTTGTACAGATGTCAGTTTCCCAAGTGATGAAGAGAGAAGCTGACACATTTAAATTTCTTTTAGCTTGAAACTATTTTAATAAAGCAAATTTTACGACTTGACATAATGTATGCTTATTTTCTTTACTTTATATAATTTATCTTGATCTAATATCTAGTACGTTTTTGTTTATTTTTGTTATTATGTTACTAATTAATGCTTGAGAAATTCCATTTTGAATTTAGTGCATAGTCGTTCCTTTTTCTTTCAAATCTAACACTCTATCTACGCCAACAACACAAGAATTCAAAGACCATAATACTCAAACTTTAAACTGTAGTTTATTGTTGACTTTAATTCTTTTATGTTTTGTTGTTTATGTGGGTAGAATCTCATCAAGACACGCAGTTAGTTTGTTCGCATAATTCTATTAGTCTGCTTCTATTATCATTAACTGTTTCTTCTCCATGTCTGCCAACTATTGTGATATCTTTTCTTCCCACTCTACCATTCATATCACCCATTATTATTACTTCCTAGTAACACCAGTTAGAGCTTTCCTCTATCCGGCATCTGGGGATGCGCTCTCTAGGAGTTACAGGTTTCCCTTGTGTTTGTAATCGAAAAAAAACTGCTTGTTGCACCAAGCGCAACCAAACCCTCTGGGGGTTCGCGTACCACACTTTGGGAAACACTGTGGTAGTAGAACAAAGTTTACAACTAACGTAATTTTCATGGAATGTAGTTGTAGCATTTAAATCGTCTGAATTCATATTCCTTGTTACTAAAAATTGCTAAATGGTCGTGAACTAATTCATTCATGTTATGTTTATTGCAGCAAAAAATACTTTATCTAATAAATACTTTATTTTCATTCATCTTTTCATTTTTAGAAAAACATGATCCAAAGATGCATCAAATTCTTGGAAGTGGTTTAGTAAAATATGCGATGCACATAAAAAATAGCATGTTAGTTATTCAACGTGCAATCATACCTACATTAAATTTTATTGGAAATGCCCCGAACAATAGTCCATTTCAAGATATTGAATTGGAGTTTGCTGTTAATTCCTTGTGCAATATGCTAAAAGTTCAACGAACTGTAAGTAATTTTCCGATTCAATTTTGATTGAACACTTATGTCGCATATATTTATTACATCATTTTTTATATTAACTAGGACATTTCATCTGTACATAAAAATTTAATATTAGAAATAATACGTACCATAAAAAATCGACCAAACTCAAAAAGTGTATTCATATTGACGAAAACGTTATTCGTTTTATATGATCATAAATACCGGGAGGAAACTTTCGTTTCTGACTGCGTAACAGATTTGGAAATCGCAATGCAATATCAAAATAATGCTAAAGTTTTAAAACTTCTCATGAAATTTAAGAATTCGCTAATTAGTGGAGAAACGAACAAGACATCTACGACGATAAATACCATAACCAACACGACCCGATTTACTGAAGAATCAGGTCGCGATCGTACAATTACAGATAAAGAGAACGAAACTCCAATTAAAAATGGTGAAGTATCAATTAGGCTAAACTCTAGTGTTGGTAAAAGTATAAATTCGGGGAGCAACTCACCAATAAAACCTCCGTCGAAGAAAAAGGTTAAGAAAGTGAATAAGGATAATTTCCCCCAGTTAGCAATAATTGTGGAACGTTCAGAAGAGGTTAGTTTTTCACTTAATAGTAGTTATAAAATAAATAATTAAATTAATTAAATTTTTATATTAAAATTTGTTTTAGATTGCGAAATTAGTGGAAGAAACTAAATGTACAGATAATGCATCCACGTCGTCTGAAGAAGAAATATTTGGTAAAAGAAAACGTAATAGTACTAAAAGACGATCACGAAAGGAACTTAAAAAAGTGGAGGTAATTTCTTGTTGATATATTAAATATGTCCAACATTATTTTAATTCCATTAAAAATAGGAACCTCCAGAGATTACTTGTTCTCTGTCATTTTCCTCATCTTCCTCAAGTGGTCACACGATGTCAACAAGAAGCAAAAGCAGACATTGATTGTAAAATACTAATAAAACTTAATAAATTTCATAACAGTTTAGAAATAAAGAAGAGGAACCAGTAAAGGTAATGTTGCGCTGGATTATTTATATTTATATTAAAGCAATTGTATTCACTGTATTTTCTATTATATATTAAAGATATATTATATTATAAAAGTCTACCATGTAAATATCTATTAATTAATAGTGGTTTTATATATTCAAGAAATAAATAAATTTGTATCTGTGTAAAATTGTTTTATGGTGTGAAGATGTTTCAACACTTAAGAAACCCTATAGATGTTGTCTATATTTTGTGCATCACAATGTTATATGTGATGTAAGTAATTAAACTAAATCCACAGAGTGGTCCATTTAATGTGAACCAAATGAAAGTTGTTCTGTGCGAACGGGTAAACCATATGACGATAACATTTTTTGACCTTGACCTTATTTTCAAGGTTATATGAAGGTCACGGCCAATTTTTTAAATGGCAACCTATATATTTTATTGTAAAATATGAATCTGTGGATAATAATTAATAAGCATTTTATTGTTTCTGATATTTACAATTTTCTCCTTAATACGTTCTAATATATATTATTAGTATATTATTTTCACCCTCTACCCTCTTCCTCCATTTCCATACCCTCGGCTCCTCGGCCCAATCCTCCCCTCATCCACCCCTTTGTCTCCTCACCCCCACAACCATTCTCATCTATCGTTTCCCGTCTCCCCCCTCGAAGATCTGCCCTCGGTCCAACTCCTCCTCCCTCAACTCACTGCACCCATTCAACATATGTTCCAACGTTTCCCATTCCTCCCTGCATAGCCTACATCACCTCTCCTCATCGGCCATCCAGTATCTGTTAGCTCTCTCCTCGTTTCCACAACGGAACCTAGCCACCAACTTCTTCCCTTCCTCATCTCCTTCCAATAACAAGTATCTAGGCAGCCCCTCCGTAATTATGTCCCTGTACCTTTCGTTATACCTCTCCTCTTTTATTTGTGTCCTTTCCTGTCTCTGCACATCTCGGTCCCTATCTCTCAACTCCCTCCACATCTCCCTAGCATTGCCTGCTCTCTCCATCCCCATACCTCTGCTCCATACATCATCACTCTGCTAACCAGACCTTCAAACATAATCTTCCTCGCTGCCACATTCCTTCCAAAGACTCTCTTTCCCCAACCCCATACTTATCCCATCACCTTATTCGCCTTTTTTGCCATAGCTATCACATGCGACCCCTCCCTGTTGTCCTCCCTGAACACATACCCCAAGTAAGTATACTCCCTAACCTCCTCGATCTCTTTTCCCTCCCATCTCCAGTTTTCTGTTCTTTTTCTCCCACCCTTACAAAACTTCATCATCCTTGTCTTCCCCACATTCACTTCCAGCCCCTTCCCCCTAAAATATCTTTCCAATGTCTTTATCATATCTTTCATCTCCGCCGCTTCTCTCGCCATGACCACGATGTCATCCGCGTATGCTAACATATGCACCTTTCTACCTCCCACCACCAACCCTCCCATTTGCCCCTTCCCCAATCTATCCTCCAGGTCCGCCGTATACAGTGCAAACAGACTTGGGCTCAGCGGACATCCCTGCCTCAGTCCCTTCGTCGTCCAGAACACGTCGCTCAGCTTATCTCCCACTTTTATCCTAGCCATAGTCTCCATGTATATTTCCTTCACTCTCGCAATTAGGTGTTCCGTGATCCCCCTCCTCCCCATCTCCTCCCACAACTTTCCCCTATCCACCTTATCAAAAGCCGCCTTCAAATCTATAAACAGGGCGTACAATTTCCCTCCCTTCTTATCCAGCTCTCTATCTGCCAGATGCTTCAACACGTACACGTTGTCGATTGCTCCCCTTCCCTTCCGAAAGCCTGCCTGCCCATCCGGCAAAATTCCCCCCAACTCCATCTCCTCCTCCAGTCTTCCCAGCAGTATCTTCGTGTATACCTTGTATGCCGAGTCTAGTAGGTTAATTCCTCTGTAGCTCTCTACCCTTCCCTTATTACCCTTTTTATATACTGGGCAAATTACCCCCACTTTCCATCCCTCCGGAAACCCACCCCCTCTCCATACGCTATTCATCCCCTCCAACAACTTCACTCTCACCACCCTTGATGCTTCCAACCATGCCTCGTTCTGGATCCCATCTTCCCCTGGCGCCTTTCCCTTCTTCAATCCCCTAAGCACTGCTTCCATCTCCTCTTCTGCTATCTCCTCTCCCCCATCTCCCTCATAGCCTCCCAAACCCGTTAGCCTCGTTTCAACCCCTCCCAATAATCCCATAAAGTAACTCTTCCATTCTGTCATGTGTATTTCGCTGGTTATCCTCTCCCTACCCTTCTTTCTCTTTTTCAGATACCTCCAGACCTCCCCTTCCCTTGTTATCCCTCTAATCTCTGCCGCTTCCTTCTCCCTCAGTTCTGTTTTCTTTCTACTGCATAACTCTCTGTATCCTCTCCTGGCCTCCCTATATCTATCCACCCCTATCTTCCCCCGTCTCCACTGCCTCAACCTCCTTCTCGCCTCCCTATTCGCCTTCTTGCACTCGCTATCATACCAGTCGTTCCTCCCTACTCTGCCCCCCTACGTACACACTGAATCGTACTGAATCTGTGGATAAAAGTAATTCAAAAAATTTACTGTGTGGTTTTGCCCGTACAACGGCAAAACAGCTTTTGAAAAAAATTTAAACTTCTTCAGAAACAATTAACTAACGTTTAGTTAGTTAACTCTAGCAAGAACAAATAAGATTTATGAATTTTTAAATATTTTCCTACCCGCTTCGATAAATTGTCTTTAGTTCTTAATTCTTAGAATACTATTTAAGAATGCTCAACAAAAAAAAATCCGGACAAGGTACATCGGGTGACCTGGCTCGTCAGAAATACCTTTGGAAAGAGGTCTAAAAGGTTCCGACATTTCTCCGCCTTTGTCAATTTGATAATAGAATAACGCAGAAACAAGAGTTTGTGGAACTGCTTATGTCGGCATTTTCAGAATATCGCTTTCAGAGACTTAATTGGTTGAACTGTATTAAATTGTAACAGGTAAAACTAAATTTGCATAAAAACTGCTTGACAACAAATTCTGAATTCATTCCATCGTTTTACATTAAGGCAAAGTATTTAAACTAAGTTATTAAATCATAGATACTCTAAGTGTGGCAGAAAAAGTCGAAATGATTATTATTTATGGAGAAAGTGGCAGAAAAGTTGCTAATAGTATAGTTTTGTATCGAGAAATAGCTTTTGCAGAGTTGTGAATAATGTCACTAAACTGGAAATGTGGAATCCACAATCAAGGAAATTGCGGTATTAGCTAGCGTTGAGATAAATGCTCAAGTTAGCACTCGACGACTTGGAATTGACGACGGAATATCGAAGACCAGCATTTTAAGAATATTAAAGCGCAACAAGTATCACCCATACCACATGTCATTGCATCAACAGCTTTATGGAGGTGATTTTGAAAATTGATTAATTTCAATTAATTAATGTCCATCCATTAATGTCAATGGGCACAAGAACGAATGCGGTTGGACGTTAATTTCTTTGGTATCGTGCTGTTCTCGGATGAGTCTACTTTTACAAACAAAGAACACGTCAATACACAACATGCACCATTGGAGCGTTGAAAATCTGAGACCTTGGTCGGTTAATGTTTGGTGTGGCATAATTGGTGATAAATTGATCGGTTCATACTTTATTGATGATATGCTGAATGGGGAAAAGTACCGTAATTTTTTAGATGACGCCTTACCAACGTTACTTGTAGATTTGAGCAGGGAAGAGAGACAAAATATGTGGCTGCAAAATGATGGGTGTCCAGCACATTTTTCACATATTGCACGTGAAGCTTTAGATCGGGATTATGCTGGGCGATGGTTTGGAAGGGGAGGTCCAATTTCCTGGCCTGCTAGATCATCTGATTTAACACCTCTTGATTTTTTTTTGTGGGGCGTCCTTAAGGATAATGTTTATCGTGAAGTACCGACTACGCTAGAAAACATGAAAGAGCGGATAAGAAGAAATAGTAGCCAAGAAAACCTTTTAAGATATAAAGAAAGTTTTAGTAGAAGGGTTAATAAATGTATTGAAATGGGTGGGGAAATATTTGAACCTGTATAATCTAATATACAGCTTGGCATATTCATCTTGACCAGTCAGTTGCGCAGAAGAAGGAGCGCAGCAATAAATCGTTGAAGTGATAGGCAATCTTGTCACAAGGCAGTATTACAGCTTCGCAGATATACACAATAATATAAACTTAAGCCATTTGAAGATTATAAATTTTATTATAGTAACTCTATAGTAATTTTAGCTGTGTTTTAGCCGAGATCATTTGCTGGCGAGATGCTAGATCTGATACATTATGAATACAAACTTGAACTCAATGCGATTTTACTATCCTTTTCTTTCCAACACATTACATGAATTTATGGAATTTATTGCATTCTGCATTGATTCACAATAAGTGGAAGTTCACTATAAACGGGTTCATTATAAGTGGACAATACATGTGTTTGATAAAATATGATCTAAAACGAAATAAATGATTTATTACAGATTTAAAACAATTAATGTATAAAAAAACCAAATTAAATAGTTTCAAAACGAAAATCCTTCAAAATAAAATGTATAATAAACATGCAAAAAAGAAATACAAAAAATTATAAAAACCATACAAATTAACAATATGCAAAAATCACTTAAACTCAAAATCGACGTCATGATTATGTTATTGAAATGCAAATACTATGCAGATAACACACTTTTTAATATTAAGAATAAATTTGCATAGTAAACGTATACAATTTATAACAAAAACCTTCAGTTTCAATAGAATTTATACTAAAAATGACGCGACTTTCTAAGAACAGTGCAAACATTTTACTGTTTTATATCATACTATTAAAAATAAGTTTCGGAAACTGTAATCAACCACCAATAATAATCGCTGAAGGAAATCCGATTCTAAAATTCAATCTAAACCCAGGTATGAATAATATAATTTAAATTTATAACTGTTTTTTACCAATAATCTAAATTACTTTTAATTTTTTTAACAATTTTTTCTAATCGAGCCATCCCCACGAAATCATCAAAATTCTTCTCATCATCAAATTTAAAATCACCACCAAAACCCCAATCTTCTTTTATCATATCACTCGCTTTTTCAGCAATCATTATTGTAGGTGCATTCGTATTTCCGGTCACCACTTTAGGCATAATTGATGCATCCACAACTCTTAAATTGTTCACACCTCTTACACTTAATCTCGGTGTAAGGACAGCCATTTCATCGTTATCCGGTCCCATTTTTACGGTTCCACTTGGATGATAAATAGTCATTGTATATTTTCGTGCTAAACATCGTAAATATAAATCGGAACGGGTATCATCCGTCGGGCATCCAGGGATAGGATTTGGATTGAGTTCAACGTTTAATTCTTGCATAATATTTGTGTTTAAAACAATTTTTAATGCTTCTTTTGCACCTTCGACGAGTATTTCTAAATCACGTTCGGAAGCGAAATAATTCGGATAAATTAATGGGTGAGAATTTGGGTTTTTGTTGTATAGTAAAATTTCTCCGGTACTTTGTGGGCGCATCAACAATGGGATGATCTAATGAAATAATTAAATTATTATTTAATTAATAAAAATAATAAAAATTGTAATTACAGTAAAAGTTTTTTTATCAAAAATCGGTTCAAACATAGCTTTATAAACATCGTCTCTGTATCCTTCCATTCGTTTTATAAATAAGCCTCCATCTGAATTATCACCGAAAGCACCAAAAAATAATTGTATATCCGGTTTATCTACAGTTGGATCTGAAAATTTTGTGTGTAAAAATCCCATTGCTTCGCAGGGTGCCATCCAATAAGCAGGACCACGGTGATCACGAATAAAACTATCAACTGATTCTGTATTTAATACTTCAAGAATTGTGGGATAAGAAATATTTTTGTTGATAATAAATGTTAGGCCACCTATCGCGACGTGATCTTGCAAATTTTTTCCAACTCCCAAACTAGACACAATCGGTTTAATTCCAACGGATTGAAGATGTTGAGGTGGTCCTATTCCTGATAACATTAATAATTGAGGAGATTGCACAGATCCTGCTGATAAAATGACTTCTCTTGAGACGAATATTTCTCGTGTTATTCCAAATTTATTTAATAATACACCATAAGCTTGTTTTGTTGATTCATCTATTAATATTTTTTCAACCATTGAGTTTAAGGTGACATGGAGATTTTTTCTATTCTTTACGGGTCTTAAAAAAGATTTTGCTGTGCTACAGCGTAATCCATTTCTTAAAGTGCCTAAAAAATATATTTAATAATATACAGTTCTTCACAAAATTGAGTATACAGAGAAATGGAAGATAGATAATTGTGAATATTTCAAATAATTATTAATTTATTTTAAAAGTTTGTGATGTATATAGGGGATGATTTATTAACTCACCATCAAATGACATCAAAAATCAAACTTTGACATATGATAGCTAATCCAATTACCAAAAAAAAATGTTAATGTTATAACACTTTAAAGTTTTCTGCAGCGAATTTATTAATAGTCAGTAAAATCAAATATTCAACAAAAACAAAGTTGTCATTGTAATATGTCAGTTTGCTGTAAGGTTTAAGTATTACATAATTAAATACAGGCAAATGGTTGTTTCAGGTAAATAGCTTTTTCCTAGTCAGATACTATCTGTCTAAGCAGATAGTTTTATTCCATTTATTTCAGTCTAATTTCTACTTTTCTAGGTAAATAGCATATGGCTAAAATATTTTCAGGCAAATAAACCAACCCAACCCCAGGAATGGTTTATTTCTTTAAGAGAGGCCTACACTTCACAGTCATTGTTTTTTGAGTATGAGATATTTCAGTGCAGTACCAAAAGGTGTACTTGTTTCAAAAATAAGATGATGTGCAATAGTAGATGCCATTCCAGCAACAATTATCAAAACAAGTAAATTTTTGTATTTAGTATTTAAGTCTTCAAGAAATAAATCGTTTATTTGTATTTTTATTAAACTTAATAGAAGTATATGAAACTGTTATGCATTTTTCGAAAATGATACGCAAATAATTTGACTCGTTTGACACTCATTAGTAACTTTAATTTAAGAAAACTAGATTGATAACGATAGGAACTACTTTATTTTATTGTGAACAGGTACCTACTCTATGTTGCATTGTTGTATCGAAAAAATGGTATTTTTCAAGGACAGTAGAATCTAACAGGACTGCTACATCCATTGTATTTTTGTAGTCCACTAGGGGTTGGTTGCCCGCACTCTACGTCACACTATTTCCCACGCCTGGTAACTGTCTCTGTTTTTAGAGGTTATATGATAGACATTAATACGTCTAAAAAGATAAAACTTCAAAAATAATATGAATACGTCTACGATATAACCTCTAAAAAAGCATAGCAAAAGCATAAACCATAACAACAGCTGGGCGTAGAAAATGGTGTGACGTAGTTTGCGGGCAGGTTGTCACAACAATGGATGTAGCAGTCCTGTTAGATTCTACTGTGCTTGGGTATTTGCCTAAAACAAACTTAGACAGACACTATTTGTCTTGTCCAATAGTATTTGCCTAGACATTTAATGATAAAACTGTAACGAATTACTGTTTGCCTAGACAGACAGTATCTGACTAGGAAAAAGCTATCTACCTGAAATAACCATTTGCCTGCGACACATACAAGAAGAAACTCAAAACGTAGGCTTATAGCACTGAAGAGTATGCTGATATAATTTTCGTGTATGGTTTTTGCAATGAATGCTCGACAATCGGTACGAGAATATCAAGAAAGATTTCCACAACGTCATTTGCCATATTATTCAGTTTTTAGCGATTCTTTCAGAAGTCTTCGAGAAACAGGTAATCCTGCTCCAGTAAAAGCTATTCGACCACATGTAGTTAATGTAGAGGACGAAGAAGCTGTCATTGATAGTCCTTCCATCAGCATTCGAAGAATAGCACACAACATACATATAAGTCAAAATTTTGCATGGCGCGTATTGAACCGCGAATGTTCAAGCTCTACAGCCAGAAGATAATCAGCAACGGTTAGCATTTTGTATTGTCTAAAATAATGACTTCATTTCAAATGTTCTGGTAATACCTAATGGTCCATTTGCGTGGCCACCTAGATCCCTCGACCTTAATCCATTGGATTTCTACTTATGGGGTCATATGAAACAAATTGTGTATCAAGTGGAAATTAACACACAAATAAGAAACTGCTACTGAAATAAGAAATCAACCAGACATTTTAATTCGGCTGAAGAACTTTTTAATTCGTCGTTGTGAAGCATGTATTCTAGCAGAAGGAGGCTATTTTGAACAACATTTGTAATATTTGTGTTTTAAAAAAATTTTGCAGTTGATTGTGATATAAAAATTAAAACTTTAAAGTGTTATAGTTTCGTAAATAATTGAAATAGAAGCTGTATATGTTCATTAACATTTTTTTTTGGTAATTGGATTAGCTATTATAGGTCAAAGTTTGATGGTGAGCTAATAAATCACCCTGTTTATTAACAACAATCTTATTAACTAAATTGAATGCAAAATAATTCAGTTTTCAAATAAAATAATCCCAATATTAACAATAATAACAAATGATACGAAATCCACACCACAAAATTGAGTATACAGTTAAGCAAATGTGATTAAGTTTAGGTTGGTTTATGGTTTAATACGCTGTAGGCCCTCCATTGGCGTCAATTATCGCCTGCATTCGCCCTGGCATGGAGTCCACTAACTTTTTGGTGTAGTTTGGCAAGATTCTATCCCAAATTTTACAAATCTCATTTTTCAATTAGCTTTTTTTTTGGCACTTGCTATTTTTTAACTGAAACTTAACGTCTCCCTATAAATGTTCAATAGGATTATTGTATAAAAAACTCAATGAAATATCTTGGTCAAATGTATGTGAAAACAGCTTTTCTGAAGCTAAGACTTCTTTAGCGAATGCTATTGCTGTCGCCCATCCTTGTAAAAACGCTCAATTAAAGTTAACTTCAGATGCTTCTAGTTTTTCCATTGGAGCAGTTTTAGAACAGACTATTAACAATTTTTCTCAACCTCTTGCTTATTTTCCAAAAAGACTAACACCAGCTCTCACAAAATATTCTATTTTTAATCCATGCATTTATGTACCAAACTCATTACGTTTTGCAATTTTTTAAAATTTTCATAATATTTCACATCCCTGAATACGGTTATCGCAAAATTTAGTAAAATCTAGATTTTTTGGTCAAGAATGAATTCTGGTATTTATCACTGGACAAAATCTTGTATCAAATGTCAAACTTCTAAAATAAACAAACATATAAAATCACCTTTTCAATAGTTCAACTTTCCAAGAGGCCGTTTTGAACATATTCATATTGACTTAACTGGCCATTTTACACCTTCAGATGGTTCAACGTACATTCTTACTGTAATTGAACGTTTTACAAGATGGGCAGAAGCATATCTTCTTTCGAACATTAAATCTACTACTATTGCAAAAACTCTTTTAATTCATTATTTTTCACGTTTTTTATTCCTCACACTATTACTCACGACCAAGTTTTACAATTTGAATTGGAACTGTTTTCACAATTCTTTGGTTCTACATAAATTCACTCTTCCTCATACCATCTGCAAAGCAATGGTATTTTGGAAAGGTGTCACAGAACTTTTGGAAACATGATCTTCTAATCATTCTACTTGCTCTCAGATCTTATTTAAAAGAAGATTTAAAATCTTTAATAAAGTGGCTATAAAAAATTGTTTACCAGTAATATCTCTGTTATTATGTAACTTTTGTTAAAACATTTTATTTACAACATTAATAACTTTCTTTTGAGATGTTTAAGCACCCCTTGAAAATAAAATCACAAGACCATAAACACCTGTATATACAATACAAACTTTAAAATAATTAAATAACTTATCTATCATCCATACCTCAGCAACTCAGTTTTGTGAACAACAGTATGAACCCTAATTTTATTTGACAATTAAAAATCGTTACAAAATTATTCTTTAAATTCAAAACAAATTTATAAAATTAATCATGTTTAAAAAAGAATAGGTAAAAGGAAGAAATAAATTATTAATAAAATTTCTTATCATAGAATGATGCATACATAAAGTCGATTACGATAAATTAGTTTTTGATTCATAAACGTACATAGGTGATTAGTGAAGTGTTAAAAAATAAAAAATTTTTGTTCTTATCCACAAATTCAACAAACAACATTAAAAAAGCTTTAATTATGAGTTGTGAAGCAGAAATAATTATAATTGCTATGATCCGTAAGTTACATCATTTTTGAACATTTTTCAATTATTTTTATTAAATTTAGTTCCTTTCGCAGCGTTGATTTTCGTAATAAATATGATCGTCATTTGTATTCTTCTTGTAAAAAACGTGGAATTAAGTTTTTTTGAAAAATATTCCGGGAATCTAGTGAAAGCACCTCAGCAATGGGTTGCCGAAGGAAATTTTGATGCTAATGGATTTGGTACTGATGGAGTATACACAATTCAATCAGATCACATCACTCAACTGTAAAGATATTGCCAAATTGGCTAAATTTATTAATATAACTAAATCATAAAACAATAGTTAATGTTTTTAAAATATTTCTTGAAATAATAAATATGTAAATGCTAATAAATATAAATTGAAAGCAGAAAATGTCAATTAATTATATTGGTAATGAGAAAGTAATGTAAAATACATAAAATAATAATAAATTATAAGATTTTCAATTAGATTAATATAGATTTTTTTACTGTTAAATAAGATTCTCTGATCAGAATGCATAATCGAATATGATAAAAAATCCTGAAATTTTATAGACCTAGCTGGAAGAATTTATTTGTTTTGAATAAATGTATTCAAAGAATAAAATTGAGAACATCACATAATAAATCATATGCCCAATAAAATAACATGTGGTGTTCTTAATTTTATTCTTTGAATACATTTATTCAAAACTAGTGACAACTACAAAACTTGGTTACGGTCTGCTACAGAAAAGAAAGTCTATAGATTATAGGTAAAGACAGTATACTGAAAACAATAAGTGCAGACCACAAACGTTAGTCACAAACTATAGACTACAAGGCAGAGCTACAGACTGCATACAGTAAACCATAGCTCCACGTGACGTATGGAATTCTATGAAGTTGTAAAATTGCAAAAGTACCTGTATACTGCCTGCTGCAAAGTACAGATACACTAAAGACTGCAGATTAAACTTCTAGACAACATAATGCGAAGAATAGCTGTAGAATATAATCGATGGTTACAAAATTACAAAGGGCAAGTCATATCTGGGGATTGTAAATTGCTAACTATAGCTGTTTACTGTAAACCATATCTCCACACGACGTATTATATGTATACTATGAAGTTGGAAGACTGCAAACGATAGGTAGTGACTAGCTAAATGACATTTACAATACTGCAAACTATAGCCATCGATATTTACTGCATACTACAGCTACAGACAGCATGCTGTAAACTGCAATTGCACTGAATATAAACCATAGTGACGAATTACAGATTATAAAACATAGTTGCAGATTATACACTGCAAATTATACCTTATGGCTCTGAAATCGTAGCTCTACACGGCGTATTGCTATAAAACTGGAGTACTACAGGCCACAGCTACAGACTACGTACTACGAACTAATAGTTGGGGACTGCATACTATAGCCACAACCTGTCTTCTAAAAATTATAATTGTAAATTGCAAACCATAGCTGCCAAATCTAATGTGTAGTTGCAAACAGCTGACTGTATTTCATATCTATAGAATACATACTGCAAACTATAACTGTATACTGAAAACCATAGCTGCTCACTGTATACTGCAAACTTTAGCTGCAAACCATAGCAACCATAGATGCATAACACAAACCATCGCTACAGAGTATTATTGTAAACCAAAGCTTCAGACTGTAATTGCATACTACAGATGAGACTACACAGTGTTGCAAACTGCAAACCATAGTTGAATATGGAATATTACAAAATATATGTAGACTACAGAGAGCATATTCTAAGCCATAACTGGTGAGGACCAACTGTAATTGCAGACGGAAGACTACAAGTCATACCTATACACAGCGGATTGGAAACTATATTGCATAATGCATACCATTATGCTGGCGATTAGCTGCAGATTATACGATCTACCATGTTATTATGATTGTAGATTTGAGACCTATAGTTGTAGGTCTCAAATCTCAAAAGTTGTAGCTGTAGAATACAAACGATAAATTAAAGATTGTAAACCATAGCTTCACACTGTATATTGCAAATCATAATTGCATATTTTAATTTATAGCTACAGAATCAAAGATCATATGTTTAAGGCTCTCTACTATCAACTATAACCAAAGAGTTCAAATCATAGTTGCATCCTGAAAACCGTAAACCATATCTTCATACTGTGTATAATAACAGCTGATCACAGACTACGAGCCATCGTCGGTAAATTAAATCGTCTGCAAATTGTAAATCATACCGCCAAGTTTTGATTAAGATGGTATTTCAAGATTCTGAAATCGTGAAACAATTAAATAACAAGAAATTAAGTGGACTACTTTTTGCCCATTTGATTGAATGATGATTGAGTTTGAAATTCAAAAAGGTAGTATTTTCAAATAAGGCTAATCTCCGTTAAAAGTACCATTTTTAGTTGTGCAATTTCATTGAAATTTTAATTTTTTTATAAAGACTCATATAACATTTGATTAATTTATCTTAATTTAAAACGTTACTTTCTATGAAAATACCAGGTATAGCTTCAAATAATGTACAACTTTCTATAACGAAATTTGAGCGTCAGAATTGCATTTAGCGTACATACGACTTAAAATCGCAGAAGCTATGCTCAACACAGCAATGTCTCTTCCACTGATAAACATGGTTAAAGAATGAAAAATTATTTGAGATTACTTTTGTATTGCAAAAGACAAAGAATCGTTAAAATCAAAGGTAGTGAAGCTAGTCACAAAGGGGCAATGAGGAATCTCATCTTAGATAGCGGTATAAAACCTATCACTCTATATGTATTTAAAATTTTTGTATTTTTAGTTCTTTTCCAAACGAAAAAGCTATTTTAAAATTATTCATTACCTTGAGATATCATAAATCCAGTTTGTTGCTCTCCATTTATATCCCTAATTTCATGACCCACTTCATTAGCTGCTTGTAAGAATCGATCAGAAAGTGTAGATCGATACCGAAAATGTTCAACTGTTTGATAACCTCCCTTTCCATGATATTTTTCATCAATAAATTCAGTATCTATACGAACATCTTCAGATTTTTTAAAATAAGGAAGAACATCATCATAAGACCACCCTACAAAAACATTTCAAAAACAATTTATCAAAATCAAGTTAGTTACCTTCATTTCCTAAACGCTCCCAATTGTCATAATCATCCCTATTTCCTCTAACATACAACATTGCATTTAAAACACTACACCCACCAAGAACTTTTCCTCGGGGCCAGTTACATTGATGTCCATGCATAGCCCCACAAAAATATTTACCGCCGGGTTGAGTTTGAAATTTCCAATCCAAAGGTCCTTTTTGTAAAGAAGTAAATAGTATGGGAACATCGGATAATGGTAATTCATCTGGACCGGCTTCGATTAATAAAACTGTCCAAAATGGATATTCACTTAGGCGATTTGCAAGAACTGAGCCGGCACTTCCACCACCGATTATAATAAAATCGTACGTTTCGTTTAAAGTGTAAATTGAAGGAACGTCTTGAATTCTGGTTTCAATATCGGTTATATCTGGCCGAAAATTTATAATTCCGCTGTAAATTAATATGATAAACCCCAATAGTGGTGCGGCTGTTGTTGCTGCTTGTATTACCGCCTGCCCTTCGAGAAGATTTAAATCCATTTTTTTTTAAATATAATGATTTATATAAAATGATGTATGATGTAAAGAGAGTTTGACAGAAATAAGATTGTTGATGAATCTTATCGGAGTTTATCCTTTTTTTCTTCTTAATTTTGCTTAGTTTGTTGGAATTTGTTTAATTTAAAACATGCTGAGTTGAAAATTTATAAATATAGATTTGATAATAAAGTGTTTAAAAAGAATGTTTTGAATAACGTTTTATTACTTAGATAAAATTTTAGATTTTCGTTTTATTTTACCTGGTACAAAATGGTGTGGACCTGGAAATATTTCTACAAACGAATCTGAGTTTGGGGAATTAATCGATTTGGATAAATGTTGTAAAAATCACGATGAATGCGAAGAAATCATTTTAGCGGGCAAATCAAATTTTGGATTAACTAATAAATCTCCATTTACTAAGTAAGTAAATAAGTAAGTATAAAGTATTAAATATAACGACGAAATATTTGTAGGCTTCATTGTGATTGTGATAATACCTTTTTACGTTGCTTACAACAAATTCAAGATAAAAATAGACTTATAGCTGGTTTGGTTGAATTTGTTTATATACAAGGAAATGAGAAGTGTTTTAAAAAATCAAAGCCAATTGTTTGTGAATCTATGATGAAGATTAATCAGTAAGTATTTTACAACTTGTTAGAACACTCAAATGAAATTTAAAATTTAATATATATACAGGTAGGCTAGCGGTAGGTTTTAAAAATACTTTGTTTTAACATACGAATAATAAAGTATTCAATAATTATTTCTGTATCTGTATCTCTTATCTATTGTTTGCCGAAGCTTTGTCGTATTATAGAAAAAATATTATACATGCAGCAATTCATTGTATTATATTCATTATATTTATGTACTGAATACAATCTCGTCTCGCTGTCACTATTCGTAGTAAACCTATTATACCTTATAGTATATTTTCAGTGCATAGTACAATCGATTTCTCTCAGTGCAGGATGTTTCACTTAAAACTGTCAGGGCAAGTATCGCTGGAAGGGTTGAGATATTTTAGTTTTGTAAGAAGTTGTTGTTTGAGTACGTAAATGAGTTCAGTTCTTAAGTATTCTTCGAAGAAATTCTCTGAAAACGGTACGATTATACAGATTGCGATATCTCGTTAGACCAATTCCATATCGAAAAATATTTATACATTTATGCACAAATCTTACCAATTTTGAAATATTTAAAAAACTTTAACGACAAAAAAAACCAGTTCGAAGTGATGAAAATAATGCAATGATCTTGCAAATTTCTATTACGTCGTGCCATCGAATTTTAAAAACGAATAAATGTTTTCCATATAAGTGCAATTTTATTCAACATTTACGACTAGGCGACGATATCTGTAGGTTTCAGTTCTTGGCTGAACTTTCAATTTTGCCTTGAAAGAGACAACTTTCTCGATAAGATTCTATGGTGCGATGAAAGTCGTTACCACAATAATAGAATATCAAGCAAAACAATCAATATTAGTCTCAGGACAATCGTAGATGGGCCGTACAAGCAAATAATTAAACAATTTTTGTGGTTAATGTTTGGTGTGGGTTAATCAATGGAAGTTTGTTAGGACATTATTTATCCTACGATAAGGTAACAAGTCACCGTTACCTGGAGTTTCTGCAGAACAACTTTCCTAAACTGCTTAATGATTTGCCGGACGCTTTAAAAAGAACGATGTGGTTTCAACAAGATGGTGACATCCTCATAACGCACAGATGGTGACTCAGTATTTGGAGCGCAGGTTTTTAGGAAGATGGATAGGTACAAATGGTCCTGTAAGGTAGCCTCCGAGATTCCCCGATTTAACGCCACTTTTTCTTTGAAATTCTTTAAAAACGAATATGCATAAAGAACTCATAACCGATATGGCCATTCGTTGTTTCAATTATTATTATAGTGAAAAATTTATTTGGTAACCTAACATGTTAATTTATTGTTTAGGTTGTTAATGTTTTGTTATTTATGTTAGAAAATAATGTTGTGACCATCTTGTTGGTTTATACAAATAATTTTATTTCAATTCGTTTCTTGTTTACTACTAAATATCTTTGAATCTACTAAGTTTTGAAATCAATCTTAACAAGGAATGTTGCACAGTTTTCAATGTTCTATAACATGCACTTAATAAAAAGTTAGTGTTGAAGGGAAAGTTTGTTTTGACTACAGCGCCACCTTTATTTGTGTGTAATGAAAAATAATAATACTTAAGAACTTAAGTCATTTACGAACTCTAACAAAAACTTCTTACAAAACTACACCAGCGTATTCTCTGATTGAAAATAGACAAAAAAAGTCTGATAAACACAGGTCCGAAAATGGACCATTTTCGAGATATTCAAAGTTTTAGTTTCATAAGTTTACCTATTGTTAACATCATTAATTGTAACGATTTAGATGTAGTAATTATATGATTACCATGGTTACGATGGTTAAGATATAGTTTAGTAAATAATAAGTTAATATTAAGTTAATTAATACAGTTCATTAATAACTTAACAAAACAAGTAATAAAGATTGTTGAAGAAAATCTGTCAACCAGCATAAAAACAACAAATACTTAACAAATTGGAAAAGAATCATGTCATAATAAATGTTCAATATGCGCACCATTTACTTCTAAACACAAACGGATACGTTTTTAAATGAACTTCTAATGCGTTCAAAGATACCGGGAATTTGTTTTGCTGCGTCAAATGCATTACTAATTTTATTTTTCAAATCCTGCACATTTTGAACGTCTTCAGCATAAACTATTTGTTTTCAATGACCCCAAAATCCAAAATCTAACAGATTTAAATCTGGAGAACGAGGTGGCCACGAAACAGGAACTCCTCGGCCAATCCACTTATTGCCAAATCTGCGATTTAAGTATGCTTGAGTAGCGCGTGCATAATGTGTTGGTGCTCCATCGTGCATAAAGTAGTAATCTTCTAGAATTTGTTAAGGTAATTCATCAAATGCCTCTGAAAGCTCATTTTGTAAAAAATGTATGTAGGCATCGGCTGTCAATCTCTTTGGAAGAAAAAATGGACCTAATAACTGATCACCTATAACTCCAGCCCATACATTAACATTGAATCGCCAGTGATGATGAGTTTCTAGTATTGCATCACTCCAAACGTGCGCATTATGAATATTAAAAATTCTGCTTTGAGTAAATGTTGCTTCATCCGTAAATACAATATTTATGGGAAAGTCGACGTTTACTACCTCTTCCTGCCCACCTACAAAAAATCTCTCTTTTCCGCCATCATTTTCTGTTAGAGCTTGAACGGTGTCGTAATGATAAGGATAAAGCAACTGCTCCCTTAAAATGTGGGGAACGGTTGTTTTCTTAATGTTTTCTTGGGCAGAAATTCTTCTAATTCTAGTTGGCATTATCATCAATTCTTCTCAAAACTGCTTCTTCTAATTCCACCGGCCTTGTGTAATGTATCTCCGTGGAATGGCTGTGGGTTACGCTTCCCGTTTCTTTTAATCTGAGAAATAGTCTGCTAAAGGTGTGACTATTAGGCAATCGTCTGTTCGGGAACCTTTGCGTGTAGTAACGAGCTGTTAACGACGCATTTCCATAAGCTAGTCTGTAACAATACACCATATCCGCCATCTCTTCCTTGGAGTAATTAATAGGAGCCATACTTAATAGTTTTATTAAATTACATAGCAAAATAATAATTTCGCAAGAAATTATTTTTTTTTATTCATCTCGAAATGCTCACCGCTGAGAAGCGTAGATCCTTTCGCATATTAACTACCTTATACAAGATACTTTCCTCTCAATCTCCAACTTACCTGTTCACTGCATTTCANTTCCTTTTTCATAATTTCAATTTTATTCCCCCTCTCAACGCCACCTAGTGGTTACTTTTGGTGTATTTGGTGTTTCGCCGTGATGACGGTTGGCCAGCCTTGTTTCTTTTCCAGTTTTTGTGGTATAAAAAACTTACGTGACTTATTGCGTCTTAACTTTTAACGAAAAATTTTAACGTGTTCTCTTTGTAAGTAATACTTTTTTTAATAGTTTCAAAATTAACTTTGTAATGATTTTTAGTATCTTTTGATCTTTAATTGCTCACCTTTAGTGAATTATTAGAAGTATAGTTTTTATAAGATATGTCTAGTGCTCAAAGTTTGCGACCTCATGTTTAGCTTTGGTTCGGTTCCTTTATGCAATCCATTTTTGTAAGTTGTTCAATTGTTTTGCTTGTTAACTATTGTAACTTTTGTTTTCTCAATATTGTAGTTACCTATGAAGAAGGAAAAATAAAATTTCCGAAAGCTCGGTAAAGATAAAAGGAAGCCTCTTTTCAATTATCTAGCCTTTGTCGTGTTGGTCGTGTATCCCAATAAACTACTTTAGTTCCTAACAGTAACGACCGTTACTACTCCTAAACTTATACAAGATACTTTCCTCTCAATCTCCAACTTACCTGTTCACTGCATTTCAGTTCATGTCATCTCGCGGTCTTCCTACTAGAGCACAGTCTGATGTCTCACTCATGTTTCCCGTTCATCGTACTGAAATATATCACAGATTATTTACTGTACAAGCTATAACTCTGTGGAATAATTTACCCACAGAATTGCGTAATGCTCGTAGCTTTTCCGTATTCAAAGCTTCGCTAAGAAATCACCTATTATCTTTACAGTTATCTGAGACTGATTTTTGATGTCATCTGCTTCTTCCTTTTCGCTCTTCAGCTGACAGCTTTATTTGCTCTTTTCATCATCTTTCGCTTAATCCAATTTTCTTTCTTTCCTGTTTTCTTCTATTCTTTTTCTGTTACTTGACATGTTGACTTATTTTCTGTTTTTTTTTCATAGTTGCCATATTAATTATTTATCTTAATTCCATACATACCAGGTCATTTTAATGTAAAGTAGATAAATGTAGACGCATTAAAAGGTTCTGATGTAAACTATTACAGGAGTTGATTTTTACACTCCATTGTAATAAGTTAATAACATTTTAGGGTTACACACTATACTGTTAGGATGGACACTGCTTTCCTGCCATGCAGGTTTCTTTTGGTTATCTCTTCGTTAAGAATTCCTCCTTCGATATTTTGACACCTAGGTTTTTGTATGAGCTGGAATGTTTAATGTTTTGTTTGTCTGAAGTAGGCAGATCTTGTTGTTCTCCTCCAAAACATATCTCCAACATTAAATATATAGGATATAGGGGAATGGACACTATTAGTAGAAAGTATAAACGACCTTATAATCGAAAGAGGAATGTATAGGTAATTATAGGAACGCCTATACTATCTACTAAAGTTCGATTTCACATTTAAAGCATTTTAGTTTGAGCACACATTTAAAGAATGGGTTGCTTGACGAGGTACACCTCCAAAAGTATTTCTATTGCTCATTGATGTTTGGCCGAGATAACGATGCTCTTCTTATATTTACATATATTACTCTTTTGTATTCCTTTCTAATACTAAGTAGATACATATTACGCAGCCAGGTTACGGCAGTCACTGAAATCTCATAAACATAATGAAATCGTGGCAATTACAAGACATTAAATTTCGGTGGCTGCCGCGACCTGATCGCCTAATGGGCATCTAGCCTAAATGTAGTTCCTGAGAGAGCAATATTTCTGTCAGTTAATGTGTCTTAATTTGTCTTCCTATTATTATTATTTTTCTCAATTATTTAAAATTTCTCATTCAGTGCTAAACATTGTAAATTGTTCAACCTTATCAATGGAAAAAAAATTCATGTCAAATACTTTAAATTACGGAAGATGGTAGTTTACAAGAAAACCTAAGTTTTTCAATTAAAGGGTAAAATCAAGCTCTAAAGAATCACATGCTGTCACATAGTGAAAATCAATAACACAATATAGTGTTACTTTGTTGCACATAAGTTTAATTTTGACATTAATTTCAGAATAAAAATGTTTTTTAGGAGGTGTAGGAAATATTCTACTCAAAATGGAGAAGAAAGAACTCAATGGTTTGATCTAATTAGTTTAAAAGTGCAAAACGAATAATTTATTCGTCATTTTCTTTAATAAACTCTTGAATATCACTTAATTCTAAACAATCTGTAGGATAATATAGTAATAAAGTGTTATAAGCTATAAAATACATTTTCTTAATCATTTTTAAAATTTCCCTAAAAATAATAAGTTTTTAGTATTTCAGTTCAACATCACCAATCATATTAATTTACTTACTTTTTATCAGAAACATTTGAATTTCTCTTTAATTCATCAATAATGTCGGATATAATTTTTACCGTTTCGATAACCAAAAGTCTTGAATTTGATCCTAAACTGGCTTGCTTTAAATCTTGAGATTTGTTAAAATATTCTAACATTTTTACTAAATTTCCTAAAATTAAATTTGAATTAAGATCATAAAAAATCACTACTAAAAAAATAAAACCTTCTTTTTTGTATTGTTCTGCAATCATATCTAAACATTCAGAAATTTTGCGATGATTTTTAACATAAATACTACTTCGAATTTTATAGCATTTCTTAAGATCATCAATATTTAACGGTTTCTTTTCTAAAAAAAAAAATGCTTAATGGAAGATTTTGAAATGGAAATATTTAATGTTACCTATTAATGCATTTGCTTCTAATTCCAAATTTTTAAAATATTCTAATAGAGCCGGTTTTTTACATTTTAAACAAATTCCTGAGATATCAGCCAGTGGACCGGAACATTTTGGACATAAAAAACTTTCCATAAAATCCTAAAAATACATACTTTAATATAGATATAATTTTGAATTAAAAACATCCTTACAATTTCATAATTTGAATTACTACAAACTTCGCATTTACAATCAAAGTGATAAATAGTCTTTAAAATATCTTGTCTACTTTCAAAATCAACGGCGCGGTATTGAAAAGCATAACAATTATAAATTTCTTCGCCTTGTTTGATATTATTTAATGCTTTTACAATTACAGTCGATTTCTTGTAACTAAAAATAATCTTATTATGAATATAAGAATAAAAAAAATTAACATACATACAACATAGTTATATTTGGATTACAAGAATGATTCATCATGCTAACTGCCGGGTAAATTCCACACGCGATTTGATTGTATTCACTAGGAATTCTATCTTCATTTTTAATCCAATGTTGTATAAGACTAGCATTCCCTGATAGTTGTAAAATGTGTCTTAAGAGTAATCCGCCACATTTTGTTTTAAGATCTTCGAGGGATATTGAATTCATTTTTTGTTTTGCGTAAGAAAAAAATTCAGTCTCCTTTTCTAAGTAATTAATGACAACGCTTGAAAGCTATTTTCAATAAAAAATATATCTTTAAAATATGTATGTAGTTATGTTTTTTATCGTAAATCATTAACAATTATTATAAAACAACTATATATATATAAAAACATAATGTTATCTTGAATATTTTGTTGTATAAAACTTAGGTTTGCTACATTGTTATAATTATTTGACGAATATATCCAACATAAAATGCGATGGTAAATTGTGGCAACAGATTCTTGATTTAACTGAACAAGACATGAATTGGTATGTAGACATAGACATCATGTCAAGTTTGATTGATAGAATTTCCATTCCAATATGTGATACTATTCGCCTGATGATTTGGCGTAAGAATATTATGTTATTTTATTAAGATCGTTTAAGTTTTTTACTACGCTTTTTCTTGATTGATCGATAGCAGCTTGGAATAAACCACAGAAATGATACGATTATTTAAGTATATTTAAGCAGGACAAGTCCCAAAGCGGAAATTTATTTTCTGTTTTCAATGTGGCAAGCATGTTCAGAATGGTGAATGTCCTTATTCATTGGTAATGGTTCTGAGCCGAAAAATTATCCGGTTATGGGATTCAGAAACCCATTAACTTTGCCTGGGATGCCTAATGGGTGGATTAAGTGGCTTGACAGGTGTCATTGCCGGTTCCAAGCCCGGATAAAGAAGCAGGGTTGCTAAATGAAGGCAACTACCTGTCTGGCATAAAAACCTCACAGTTTCCAGAACTGAAACTGATGTCTGCAATACCGGATGGATAACCCATATAGCGAACAAGAGTACACTTTGGAGTGGGCATTCTATTGCACAATAGATAATAGATACACACAAAATATTGAAAACAGCGAATATATTAATGACAGGATTGTAAAAGTCTCCTTAACGCTGAACAGCATTATCATCCATCTGGTAAGCACTTACGACTAAAATATGTCTAAGAAACTTAGAGGAAACAAAAACCTTTTATAAAATAATTAGTATTATTATATAGGAGGCTACAACCTATATGGAGCTCAAAGTAAATGAATTTATTCAAAGCAAGACCATGCCAATAGAAACTTAGCAAACAAACGACTTGTTAAAGTACGGAGGGCACAAGTTGGTACAGAAATTAACAAAATTCTTCATGATTCAAAAGTACCATAAAGGAATAGCATAGTAGCATTACCATTCCAATATTTAAGAAAGGACAAAAACGCGTCCAAGACTTGTACAGGGATCTTTTTAGTACGCTTCCATGAACTTATACACGAGAATTCTCAAAAAAAACTAGATAACATAATAACTAATGCTGTTGACTAACAAAGTTTGAGAAATGGTCGATCTGTAATCGATGCAGTATTCATTATAATCAAAGATAAGTTTGACAAACCTGCATTCATCTGCTTTGTATCTTACCAAAGCTTTTGACAAAGTCTGTTTGATGGACATCATAAAAATCTTAAAGAAAAGAACGTGCGTGATAATATAATAAAGATAATACGTGACTTGAACACGCATAGTACAACTAAAGTAAGAAAGAGAACCAAATAACGGATAATATTGCCACCCCGGGAGGAATTAGACAAGGAGACAGTCTTAGCCCATTTCTGTTTAATCTGCAATTGGTAAAATCATAGTATCAAGTAAACCGTAAACTCAACTAACTGGCTATTTCCGTTGTTAACACCAAGTCCATGACTACTATAAAAGATCCGATCAGATTTAAACTCGTATTCGATAATAACTGGATCTAGAGCCTATGATCCAGTGAAAAACTTTTGAAGCCAAATTACTAAAGCATCCGCAGTATCGGGGTGCTTAAGAGATACAGTTTGGTCAAATCTGTACATGCGAATAAACATAAAAGTTCGAATATGTAAGACATGTGTAAGTCGGATAATGAGATACGGAATAGAAGTGAGAATAGAAATAAATAAAATAAAGAGCATGTTATGAGTGGCAATAATGGAAAAAGTGAGAAACTCTGACATTAGAGATCAATGCAACGTCGCAGACATAGTGAGGTGTACAGGGTGGGCAAATTTTGGTGTTATTATAGGATATCTGAGAAACTATAAGAGATACGAAAAAAGTAGGCACCATGTCCCGGTCTCTTTTTTCGAGACTAACCCAATCCCACAAACACCAAACCTTTATCTTCTTTTGTTCTTAAGTTATAGAAAAAAAGTAAAATTTCAATTCCAAAATAGTAAGCGCTAATGTTCAAAATTTTGATTATAGTAGGCGGGTTCGGACAGCAAATACTACCTAATTGCTATATGGTTTTGCACGAATATGACAGAATAAAGTTGGTTTCGTACTATTATGCACGATAAAGTTGGTTTTGTAACAACGAATAACAACTTGAAACTTGAATAGGTAGTTTATTTAAAATTCTCAGTGTCTTATCCCTGACTTTGTTCACCATTGAAACATCGTTTCAATGGAAAGTCCCGGGGATATGAAAACTTATGTATAATCTTCAAAGCTTACGCCAATGTATTCTATATTTAATTTCACCATTTTATTTAAAGATATTGCAGAACTTCTTAATCGGGAAACTCGTTTCGAACAATTCATGAATGAAATGACAAGTAAACTCACGTTACTATAGTAACTAAGCAGCATTTAACGTTTTCCTCGCCTACTATAATTAAAATTTTGAATTTAATCTTTATTATTTTAGAAATGAAAAATAACGTTTATTTGCCGCAAATACACTATACGTGCGATACATCATTGGAAAGCTAAAAATATGCTCTTTTCAGTAACATCATAATCAACTCGTTTGCATTTAAAAAAATACAACTTTTATATCTCAATAATTATCAGCTATGTTTAAAATTTTTCAACGGCAGTATATTCTACTCAAACAAGTGTCTTAAGAATGTATTAACCGTTTTTCTCTAATTTCAAAAATAAACGAAATATGAGCATTTTTGGAAATCGTGAAAATTTGACTTTTTGGCTATAACTTAAAAACCGAGACCGAGACATAGCACCTACTTTTTTCGTATCTCAATATATTTTCAATAGTATAACGATACTCAAAAGAAAATAAACAAAATATAGCAATTCCTTATCCAGCTATAGGTATATATGCTTATGGCGCTATACGACACTGAAACAAAGAATTAAACGCTAGTGTCTGATAGATTTTGTTCATCTGTTAGATATGTGTGTAACTATTACTTGGGTTCTATACAGTGATGGGCGCTGGGTAAATACCTGACGGGTAGGTATTTATAAAATGGATGTTTATCCGGGTATTTACCTCGGCCCAGGGTAAATACCCAAACAGTACGTATAAACGTGATACAAGTAAAAATACATCAGATTCCGAAAAAATTAAGAGGAAGATGATGAAATGGACGTTTATCATCAGACGAATCTGTCGTAATTTAGATTAGATCAAGTTATTATGATTATTATCANATTAAAAACAGCGAATATATTAATGACAGGATTGTAAAAGTCTCCTTAACGCTGAACAGCATTATCATCCATCTGGTAAGCACTTACGACTAAAATATGTCTAAGAAACTTAGAGGAAACAAAAACCTTTTATAAAATAATTAGTATTATTATATAGGAGGCTACAACCTATATGGAGCTCAAAGTAAATGAATTTATTCAAAGCAAGACCATGCCAATAGAAACTTAGCAAACAAACGACTTGTTAAAGTACGGAGGGCACAAGTTGGTACAGAAATTAACAAAATTCTTCATGATTCAAAAGTACCATAAAGGAATAGCATAGTAGCATTACCATTCCAATATTTAAGAAAGGACAAAAACGCGTCCAAGACTTGTACAGGGATCTTTTTAGTACGCTTCCATGAACTTATACACGAGAATTCTCAAAAAAAACTAGATAACATAATAACTAATGCTGTTGACTAACAAAGTTTGAGAAATGGTCGATCTGTAATCGATGCAGTATTCATTATAATCAAAGATAAGTTTGACAAACCTGCATTCATCTGCTTTGTATCTTACCAAAGCTTTTGACAAAGTCTGTTTGATGGACATCATAAAAATCTTAAAGAAAAGAACGTGCGTGATAATATAATAAAGATAATACGTGACTTGAACACGCATAGTACAACTAAAGTAAGAAAGAGAACCAAATAACGGATAATATTGCCACCCCGGGAGGAATTAGACAAGGAGACAGTCTTAGCCCATTTCTGTTTAATCTGCAATTGGTAAAATCATAGTATCAAGTAAACCGTAAACTCAACTAACTGGCTATTTCCGTTGTTAACACCAAGTCCATGACTACTATAAAAGATCCGATCAGATTTAAACTCGTATTCGATAATAACTGGATCTAGAGCCTATGATCCAGAGAAAAACTTGAGAAGCCAAATTACTAAAGCATCCACAGTATCGGGGTGCTTAAGAGATACAGTTTGGTTCAATCTGTACATGCGAATAAACATCAAAGTTCAAATATGTAAGATATGTGTAAGTCAGATAATGACATACGGAATAGAAGTGAGAATATAAATATATATATAATATATATATATATATATAAATATATATATAAATATATAAATAATGGACAAAGTGAGAAACTCGGATATTAGAGATCAATGCAACGTCCCAGAGATAGTGAGATGTCAGGGTGGGCAAATTTGGGTGTTATTATAGGCTATCCGAGAAACTATAAGAGATACGAAAAAAGTAGGCGCCATGTCCCGGTCTCTTTTTTCGAGACTAACCCAATCCCGCAAACACCAAACCTTTATCTTCTTTTGTTTTTAAGTTATAGCCAAAAAGTAAAATTTCAATTCCCAAATAGTAAGCGCTAATGTTCAAAATTTTGATTATAGTAGGCGGGTTCGGACAGCAAATACTACCTAATTGCTATATGGTTTTGCACGAATATGACAGAATAAAGTTGGTTTCGTACTATTATGCACGATAAAGTTGATTTTGTACCAACGAATAAGAACTTGAAACTTGAATAGGCAGTTTATTTAAAATTCTCAGCGTCTTATCCCTGACTTTGTTCACC